ATTGAACATCAGTAGGGGAGCAGATGTTTCAGGTGCAAAGAAAATTATCCCAGCACTCTGTCTGTAGCGCTTTGTTCTGAGAAAAAATCCACAGTCAATCCAGCTTGGTCAAAAACAGGAGTGTTCAAAAAGATACCAGTCTTGGAATCAAATGCTCATGTGTATGAATAAAGGAATACAAGATTGAGATCAATTTGTGGAAGACGTCATATGTCATATAAGAAAGTTAGACATTATAAAAGGTAGGAAATATCTGTAGTGTGCGTTTTTTTTTTAAGAATGAAAACTAATTGGATTGATAAGATACATTGGGAAGGAAACTCTTGAAGATAAGAATTTTTTCTTTTTCCTTTTTTTTTTTTTTTTTTGAGATGGAGTCTCTCACTCTGTCACCCAGGTTGGAGTGCAGTGGTGCAATCTTGGTTCACTGCAACCTCCGCCTCCCGGGTTCAAGTGATTGTTCTGCCTCAGCCTCCTGAGTAGCTGTGATTACAGGCATGCGACACCACGCCCAGATAATTTTTATAAAATAACAAAAGGAACTAAGATGTTTGCTTCATTAGTATGGCCAGGTCAAATAGCAGTATATATCACATATTTATTTTAAAGCTTTTCATAGGATATTATTTTATTTAATCTTATCAGGACGGGTGTTACTGTTAATTACTTTTTTTTTTTTTTTTTGAGATGGAGTCTTGCCTTGTCGCCCAGTCTGGAGTGCAGTGGCGCCATCTTGGCTCACTGCAACCTCCGCCTGCCGGGTTCAAGCGATTCTCCTGCCTCAGCCTCCTGAGTAGCTGGGATTACAGGCACCTGCCACCCACCATGCCCAGCTAATTTTTGTATTTTTAGTAGAGACGAGGTTTCACCATGTTGGCCAGGCTGGTCTTGAATTCCTGACCTCCCGTGATCTGCCCACCTCGGCCTCCCAAAGTGCTGGGATTACAGACGTGAGCCACTGCACCCGGCCTATTGTTAATTACTTTTAGAGGCAATAGTAAAATCAAATAATATTTAAGCCTAATCTACGATAATCTTTTTTCTACAGATTTTTAGTTACAAATCCCCAGATATTTCTGTGTAAACATAATCTCTGTGATTTCTTCAAAGTCTCCCTTCTTTAAAAAAAATGTATTTATATATACTACTTTGTAGTTAACAGAGTCTTTTCACTTTTTGTTTTAATTCTTAAAATAACCTTATGTGAGGTTAGTAGGAATTTTTGTCCATATTTACAGTTGGGGAAAAGGGTTTGGAATGATTTAGCCCAAAGCCACATAGCTAATGTATGATTAAATTTGTATTTAGAGTTAAATGTAGGGAGACTAAATAAGAGGTTATTTGTGAGGGTAAACTGGATCAGAACTGGACTTCAGTCCTAGTTTCACTGCTTTACCGTGTAATGCTCTTAGACAGTCTTTTTTTTTTTTTTTTTTTTTTTTTGAGATGGAGTCTCTGTCACCCAGGCTAGAGTGCAGTGGCACAATCTCAGCTCACTGCAATCTCCACCTCCTGGGTTCCAGTGATTCTCATGCCTCAGCCTCCCTAGTAGCTGGGACTACAGGCGCCTGCCACCACATCTGGCTAATTTTTGTATTTTTAGTAGAGACGGGATTTCACCATGTTAGCCAGGATGGTCTCGATGTCCTGACCTCATTATCTGCCTGCCTCAGCCTCCCGAAGTGCTGGGGTTACAGGTGTGAGCCACCGCGCCCAGCCTCTTAGACACTCTTCTTTGTCTTTTGTTTGTTTGTTTTTTGGGGTTTTTTTGAGACAGGATCTCACCTTGTTACCCAAGCTAGAATACAGTGACATGATCACAGCTCACTGCAGCCTCAACCTCCCAGGCTTGAGTGATCCTCCCACCTCAGCCTCCCAAGTAGCTGGAACCACAGGTGCATGCCACCACCCCCACTGATTTTTTTAACAGATAGAATCTCCCTGTGTGTTGCCCTGGCTGGTCTCATACTCCTGAGCTCAAGTGGTCCTCCCACCTCAACCTTCCAAATTGCTGGGATTACAGGTGTGAGCCACCACACTCAGCAATATTAAACACTTTTTATGGCGTCAGTTTCTATCTGTAAAATGGGAATACCTACTTCAGTTCCTGTGGACCTGCACTGTCCAATATGGTAGCCACTTGCCACATGTAGATATTGAGCATTTAAAATGTGACTAGTCTGGCTGGGCGCGGTGGCTCACACCTGTAATCTCAGCCCTTTGGGAGGCCAAGGCAGGTGGATCACCTGAGGTCGGGAGTTTGAGACCACTCTGACCAACGTGGAAAAACCCTGTCTCTACTAAAAATACAAAATTAGCCGGGCAGGGTAGCGCATGCCCTGTAATCCCAACTTTTCAGGAGGCTGAGGCAGGAGAATTGCTTCAACCCAGGAGGCAGAGGTTGCAGTGAACTGAGATCGTGCCATTGCACTCCAGCCTGGGCAACAAGAGTGAAACTCTGTCTCAAAAAATAATAATAATAAAAAGCAACTAGTCCAAATTGAGATAGCCGTTAAATGTAAAATACATACCAGATTTCGAAGACTTACTTTGTTTTCTTTTACATACTGTCTTATTGTGTTTCTTTTTTAATATGAGTTCCATGTTGAAATGACAGTATTATAGATGCGTTGTGTTAAATATTAAAATTGTCACCTATTTTAACTTAAAAATGTGTCTACTAGAAATTTTTAAAAATATATATGTGGTTTGCATTATGCTTCTGTTGGCCAGCACTGCTCTAGACCAAGGATAGCAAACTCTGACACCCCAAATCCAGCCAGATGCCTGTTTTTGTAAATAGAATTTTATTGGAACATAGTCACACCCATTTGTTTATAAATTGTATGTGGCTACTTTCATGCTATATGAGCAGAGTTGTGTGGTTGCTCCAAAACTCTATTACGGCCTGCAAAGCCTAACATATTTACTGTTTGGTCCTTTGCAGAAAAAGTTTGCTGCCTCTGCTCAACTGTAATTGACAGACGTTCAATATGTTATCTTTACTTAAGAGTGGCTATGGTAAAGACAAAGACGGAAGGTAGAATCATGGTTGCCAGTGAGAAAAGAGAAGCTGGGAGTAAACACTAATCATTACAGAGTTTCTTTTTTGGGATTAAATAAAAATTTTGAGGCTGGGAGCAGTGGCTCACGCCTATAATCCCAACACTTTGGGAGGCCAAGGCAGATCACTGAAGGTCAGGAGTTCGAGACCAGCCTGACCGACATGGTGAAAGCCTGTCTGTATTAAAAATACAAAAATTAGCTAGGTGTGATGGTGGGCACCTGTAATCCCAGCTATTCGGGAGGCTGAGGCAGGAGAATTGCTTGAACCTGGGAGGCAGAGGTTGCAGTGAGCTGAGATCACGGCACTGCAGTACAGCCTGGGTGACAGAGCGAGACTCCATCTCAAAAAAAATAAATAATTTTGATAGTTGTGCAACTTCAGATATACTAAAAACCACTGAATTGTGCACCTTTAAAAGGGTGAATATTACGGTATGTGGATGATATCTCCACATATCTTTTTTTCTTAAGTAGATGTGAGTCTAGTTTGGTACATGTAATAAAGCAGTATATTAAATATACATACTGTAATAAAACAGTATATTAAACATACATGTTAATGATGAGAACATGCAATGAAACGAACAAACGCAAATCAATTATGAGGTCAGTAAAAAAAATTAGTTTTTTAATGTAATCTTTTGTCAAAGACAATTTTTAATCACTTTCAAGAGATCATGTCACTTGAGAATATATGCAGGTTTTTTATTGGTAGGAAAAGCAATTTTCTGTCATTGCTTACTCACTTGCTCAAATTCATTTACTGCCTCTTAAGATAGTGTGCAGTACTTTGGGAGGCCAAGGCGGGCAGAGCACAAGGTTAGGAGTTCGAGACCAGCCTGGCCAACATGGTGAAGCCCTGTCTCTACTAAAAATACAAAAATTAGCCAGGTGTGGTGGCGGGCACCTGTAATCCCAGCTACTCCAGAGACTGAGGCAGGAGAATTGCTTGAACCCGGGAGGCGGAGGTTACGGTGAGCTGAGATCGCACCACTGCACTCCAACCTAGGTGATAGAGCAAGACTCCGTCTCGGGGGGAAAAAAAAAAAAAGAGTGTGCAGTAATACATAAACGTAGCTGATGTCAATAAATAGCTAAATAAGTGAATACAAAGTATAAAAATACTATTGTATAAACATTAATTCTCTTTTGGAAGCACTTATCTAAATACAGAAATTATGGCTTATTTCGTTTTTAGCAAGCTTTTGAAAGGATAAAACAATATTAGCAGAAGGGAATTGGAAGATCATTCGAAAACAGCCATAGCTTGTCTGTGTATAGGTATTTTATCTATTATTAAACATCTATATACAAATCCTAGGTATTTTAACATTGCTTTGAAACTGACAAAATAGTACCTGCTATGTACAATTGACCCATTAATTTGTTATACATAGGATATAGCAACAATCTGCTTTATGCAATCCAAAAACAATAATCATCACATAATTTTTCATCTGAACATGTTGCAATAGGTTTTAATTTTATTGCTTCGATATTCGACACCATATTACAGTACCTTATTTATGATGTAACTTACATTAGCATGATGTGGAAGGGCACAGACTTTGGAGCCAGACAGACCTAGTTCCTATTATGACTTAGTTTACTAACATTGTGATGTGGTACAATTTAGTTAATATTTAACATCTCTGAGTTTTCATTTCCTCATCTCTGAAATGGGGCTAATACCTTCTCCAGCAAGTTTCTTTTAAGGAATACATAAGGAAATGAGTACAGAATACTTAACACATAGTAACCACTCACTCAATGGTAACCTCATATGATTATTATTGCCACTTAATATGTTAAGTTTTTTAAATCGAACATTAAATTTTTTTTAGTTGTCAGCATCATACATTTCATTATGTATTTTACTGACTCCTTATCAAAAACATAATGAAATATTAAGTAACATTCTATTTTACTTTCAGTCAAAGAAAAATAAGAAGAAATCAAAGTCAGATGCTAAAGCAGTGCAAAACAGTTCACGCCATGATGGAAAGGAAGTTGATGAAGGTACTTGAGCAAGGGAAAGGACTGTAGAAAATTTTTTAATCCTTTTTTTATCAAAGTGTATTATATAAAAACTGCATTTGTTTTACTTTATTTTGTATTTAGCTCTTTTTTTATTACTGTAGACCTTAATATATAGAGCTGTGACACTGTTAGGAAACACTTTTGTTAAGGATCCAGTAGTGCTTTTTCTGAAGAGAACTGCCTTGAAATTTAAAGTCAAGCTCAGTATTTTGAGCAATTAAAAAGTCATTCATCTTGTCTTTGTCTACTGGAATTATGGTTTGTTTGTTTGTTTTCTCCCCATGGTTCTTAAATATACCATTCCTGAAAGACTTTGTACAAAATTCGCTAGAAGTCATTTATTATCATCACCTAATAAACCCATGTATTAGTGATTATATATAATACTCTCCTATCACTTCTACCTAGCAAGATAAAAAAAGATAGACAAGATGACTTATATATATCACTTTTTCTAAACCATAGATGACAGATTTGATAAAAATTACCAGAATAAATAATAGCAGTTGCCTAAAACAACATAATGAAATTAGAACACATTCTTAGGATGAGTTAATATAATCAACACTCTTGGTTTTAGCTTAACATCTAAATTTATCATGATATTTTATGTGCTCCACCCCATTTTCTCCCCCAAAACTACAACTTTTTTGTCTTCCCCTTACTGAATAACATTTTTTTTCTGGGGCTGTGTCAGGAGCCTGGGAAACTAAAATTAGTCACAGAGAGAAACGACAGCAACGTAAACGTGATAAGGTGCTGACTGATTCTGGTTCATTGGATTCAACTATCCCTGGGATAGAAAATACCATCACAGTTACCACCGAGCAACTTACAACCGCATCATTTCCTGTTGGTTCCAAGAAGAATAAAGGTATATTAGTGGAACATAAGACAGTGGTACATCAAATCAAACTCCTTTTATTCGGATGTACAAAATATCATTATGTCAAAATCTGACTATTTTGAATGCTAACATCATTGTGCTGATATACCCTTCTTCATGAGAGTATTGTGAACCGTGTATCGGTTTACCGAATACCAGCAGTGTTACTTGTTACATATTGCCTAATGAATGGCCTATTAAATTAAAATTTGCCTTTCTGCCTTGAGTCATATGAGAAAATGATGTTGCCACTTTTCTAGTGTGTATCACTTTGCCCCAACTCTCTTGCATCTCCGTTCCTTAGAGTGGATAAGACATTTATTAAATGAAATGATTTATCACCATTTTGCATGTTGAGAGCTTTCATTCCAAGATGAATCATGCATGTTCTGGTTAGTACAGGTTGTGTCTGGATTTCTTATCACCCCAGCTTTTTGAGAATATCATAGATGTTTGATAGAGCTAGACCACAGCTTCAAAGATTGAGCTAATGTTCTTTCTCTCAAGTATTAATATTTCATATGTTCATACTATCCAATACTGGTGGCTTCTTGGTAGCCCGCTCTTTACATTACCATCATTTTTACCCTGGAGACACCAGCCTGCAAAGTGATACTGTTCAATTTGCTTGAAAGCATTGGCGTATCTTCCTTGTCTTTTTGTTAATGACCTTCCCACCTCCCCACACCTCAGTTGTTTCCAGACCATTTTCTTAGCCTCGTTACCTTTTATTTTTTGCTTGATAACTTGGTGGAATTTATTGCCATGGTACAGCAATGACTTCTACTTACCCATTTTCACTGTTACATATTAGCTATGCTTTAGTATTTTTGTTGATTCTTTTTCACTGTCTTGTGCATGCCATCCTTGCTAGCACAATCCTATGTCATGCTGGTTTTTTTAAACATTGTGATCATTATGCTTTTTAGTGTCAAAGAAATAGTATTTTTGTGTTATAATGTGTATTCTCACCTCTTGCCATATTTCCTAAGTCCTGGTCCCAAATACTGGCAAAATTCTTCATAAGTTGATGTGTTTGCTTCCAGGATTGTTGAAAAGGCAGCTGGTGTTGTTGAGAGGTGGCAAAGTTGAATCCAATTACAGAGCCCAATACTCCAGTTCCTACTTAAAATAATCTTGATAACCGTTATAGAATAGCAAACTCTGTCTGTCCATAAGCAGTTTTCCAGGTTCTTTATTGGCATTTTAGTTGACTAAGAATATGGTAACCAGAAAACTCAATTCCTTACCAACAGGGAACTTGACTTTTTTCCAGTGGAAGAATTTAGCACTTGAAGGAGCAATTTATAATAGATAATAAGTAAAAATTAATTTTTGTGTTACTCCTAATTTAATGTGCATAGTGGCCTATTTAGTATTAAATAAATTTTATTTCTATTTTAACCAGGTGATTCTCATCTAAATGTTCAAGTTAGCAACTTTAAATCTGGAAAAGGAGATTCTACACTTCAGGGTGAGAGAAATTACATATAACTTAAATTGAAGGCCCGTCAAAATAGAAATTTATATACATACCTCTTTCCTCACATGAATGACACAGAAGGAAAGAAAAAAGTCTTAAAATGATTTTTAATTAATAAAGTAACATAATCACAGTCCAGAGATTTTGGAAAATAAATAAAAAGAAAAATCACTCCCACTTCTAACAATCTTTGGTATGTTCTAGTCTTTTTTCCCCCATATATAAAAACATTCTGTAGTCGCTTATATGCAATTTTGAATCTTGTTTATATCACTACTAAGTCAGTAGAGAAGAAAGATTTTTGTTGGGCTTGGGTTTAATATAGCATGTATCGGATAAAATACTTGATGCTTGTATGTTTAAAAAAGAAAAAAAGCCTTAGTTCCTATAATGTTTTAACTGCTTCCTTGACAGTTCAAATATTTCACAATGAATGGACTATAGCCTAAAGTTTTTCATTGTTTTATAAATAGAAAATGTTTTATTTACTCATTTATGATAAAGATTGAATTAAGTAGAGTATTACGCCTGACCTGAAAACAAAAGTGTTGTAGTAAAATAAATTTGGAAATGAAAAAAGCACCTTCTCATTTCAGGCTTTTTTTTTTTTTTTTTGGAGATGGAATTTTGCCCTTGTTTCCCGGGCTGGAGTGTAATGGCATGGTCTTGGCTCACTGCAGTCTCCACCTCCCGGGTGCAAGCGATTCTCTTGCCTCAACCTCCTGAGTAGCTGGGATTGCAGGCACCAGCCACCATACCTGGCTAATTTTTGTATTTTTTAGGAGAGATGGAGTTTCACCATGTTGGCCAGGCTGGTCTCGAACTCCTGACCTCAGGTAGTCCACACACCTCAGCCTCCCAATGTGCTGGGATTATAGGCATCAGGCTTTTTTTTTTTTTTTTTTTTTTTTTTGGAGACAGAATTTTGCTTGTTGCCCAGGCTGGAGTGCAGAGGCACTATCTCAGCTCACTGCAACCTCCGCCTCCTGGATTCAAACAATTCTGCCTCAGCCTCGTGAGTAGCTGGGATTACAGGCACTTGCCACCACGCCTGGCTAATTTTTGTGTTTTTAGTACAGGCAGGGTTTCACCACGTTGGCCAGGCTAGTCTCAAACTCCTGACCTCAGGTCATCCGCCTGCCCCCAGCCTCCCAAAGTGCTGGGATTACAGGCATGAGCCACCGCGCCCAGCCTCATTTCAGGCTTTTCAGTGCTTGTTCTTAGCACTGTCAGCTTCCTTCATGCTCATGGTTCTCAACCCTGGCTACACATTAGTTATCCAGGAAGCTTTAAAAAACAACGCGTACACACATATATGTAAAAAGAAACATGTACTTACCTGTACACACACTTATGTGTATTTGTGTATGTGTACATACCTACACTATACATACATAATGATATGTGGGCTCCACCACAAAGATTCTGATTTTAATTGGTCTGGGCTGAGGCTCCAGAGTCTATTGTTAATTAATTTTTCGGTTAATATTAATGTGCAGCCAGGTTTTAGAATCATTGCTTGATACATAATGTAATATACATAAATAATTAAGGAAAGAACATGTAACTAAGGAGATGTCTTCATATTCTTAGTGGGTGAGTATTCAGAATATGTGTCATTTTCCTGTTTGCTCTGTTGTACTTCCTTCGAGCAAGTCATTCTGCTGTTGACAACTTTGTTAGTATATATGTTATGTTCAAGCCTCCTGTTTTTAAATTAAAAAGGCAATCCTTGGTGATCAAAGGATACTAGGGGAAGTGAGTGATAAATATAAGTCAAGCAATCATAGAAATGTGAAAATATCCCAGTTTTAAGAAGTCATGTACCTGTTTTTTAATCTTCATTCTCTTTTCTTTAAGTTTCTTCAGGATTGAATGAAAACCTCACTGTCAATGGAGGAGGCTGGAATGAAAAGTCTGTAAAACTCTCCTCACAGATCAGTGCAGGTGAGGAGAAGTGGAACTCCGTTCCACCTGCTTCTGCAGGAAAGAGGAAAACTGAGCCATCTGCCTGGAGTCAAGACACTGGAGATGCTAATGCGAACGGAAAAGACTGGGGAAGGAGTTGGAGTGACCGTTCAATATTTTCTGGCATTGGTAAGAAGTGTTAGAAAAATTTAAGTTTATTTAAAATTACTAATCTTGTACATTGTTAATTTTTCAGAAATAGGAAAAAATCCTATGAATAGAAAAATAAGTACTGCTCTGCAGAAATAATAGTAATAATTAACTCATCTCACATCCTTTTTGTAGAGGAAGGTGGGAACTAAATAAGTAAATAACATTTATCATTTACTCTTTGCATAGTGCTTTCACATACTTTATCACATTTGATTATCAACGTAGCTAACTGGTGTAATTATATATTCTTAGTGATGGGATACATGTAATGTGTGAGTAGACTTTTTGATTAATTTCAGCAGTTCTGTTGAGTCTAAATAAAAATAGTAAATGGAAATATAGTTGATAACATCCACTTACAGAGTATTTTACAGTCTGCAAAGTGCCCATTGATAATTAAATTTTCCTCTGGATTTTAATATAAAGACCAATAGTTGAGAAGCTTATTTCTGTTGAGAGCCATTAAGTTAAAAGCAAGTTAATTTTCGTGTGTGTGTGTGTGTGTGTGTCTGTCTGTGTGTGTATTATAGAAAAGAAATCTACATTACACGTGGGAAACTGCAAAATGATAAGGAAAATCCCACAGTTATCACTGTGCCACCTAGTGACAACCACTGTTGTTTATATTCCTTCTCCCTCCCTTTCTCCTGTCCGCAACTGTGTATAGTGTTTTTTGCTGTTGCTGTTTTTTGTTTGTTTGTTTTTTTAATGGAGTCTCGCTCCGTCTCCCAGGCTGGAGTGCAGTCGTGCGATCTCAGCTCACTGCAACCTCCACCTCCCGGCTTCAAGCGATTCTACTACCTCAGCCTCCCAGGTAGCTGGGATTACAGACATGCATCACCATACCTGACTAATTTTTCTATTTCTAGTAGGGACGGGGTTTTGCCATGTTGGCCAGGCTGATCTTGAACTCCTGACCTCAGGCGATCTGCCAGCCTCAGCCTCCCAAAGTGCTGGGATTACAGGCGTGAGCCATTGCGCCCGGCCTGTAGTTTTGCTTTAGTATTTTTGTTTTTGATGTAACTCAAATTGAATGTGCGTGTTTATGTCTCCCCTAGTCCCCACTTAACATTGTAACATGAACATTTTCCTTACTTTTTGTAAGTATATTTAATGGCCCTATAATGTTAGCATAATTTACTTAACTATTCTCATATTATTCAAGAAGTATTTTATTTTTTTTTATTTGAGATGGAGTCTCACTTTGTCGCTGCCACACTAGAGTGCAATGGCGTGATCTTGGCTCACACCACCCTCTGCCTCCTGGGTTCAAGCAATTCTGCTGCCTCAGCCTCCCAAGTAACTGGGATTACAGGCATACGCCACCACACCAAGATAATTTTTTTTTGTATTTTTAGTAGAGATGGGGTTTCACCATGTTGCCCAGGCTGGTTTCAAACTCCTGACCTCAAGTGATCCGCCCACCTCGCCTCCTAAAGTGTTAGGATTATAGGCGTGAGCCACCACGCCCAGCCAATTTTCCTTTTTTTAACCCGTTGTAGATAATGTTTTACTGAACATATGTGTTTGGGATTTTTTTGTTGTTGTTTTTAAGATGGAGTCTCACTCTGTTACCTAGGCTGGAGTGCAGTGGCATGATTTCAGCTCACTACAACCTCTGCCTCCTGAGTTTCAGCATTTGCATTTCTCGTGCCTCAGCCACCCGAGTCTCTGCCTCCTGAGTTTCAGCATTTGCATTTCTCGTGCCTCAGCCACCCGAGTAGCTGGGATTACAGGTGCACACCACCACATCCGGCTAATTTTTGTGGTTTTTTTTTTAGTGGAGATGGGGTTTCACCATGTTGGCCAGACTGGTCTCCAACTCTTGACCTCAAGTTATCTTCCTGCCCCAGCCTCCCAAAGTGTTGGGATTATAGGTGTGAGCCACCATACCTGGCCATGTTTGGCAGTTATTTCTTAAGGACAGAGTCTTGTGAGTGATACTGGATTAAAGGGAATATGAATGTTTGTGATGCTCTACTACATAGTGCCTAAGTATTTTCTAAGAGAGTTGTTCTAATTTATACTCAAAGCATCAGTGTAAGTGCCCATTTATCATATACTTACCAAGGTTGGGGATTTTTTTTTTTTTTTTGCCTTTTCTAATTCGATAAGCAAAAAGTACATAAATTATTTTGGTTAACTTTTTAGAATCACTAATGAGATTGAAAATTTTTCCATAACTTTCTTGGTCATTTATTTTTTTGTTTGTTTTTTTGTTTGAAACCGAGTCTTACTCTGTCGCCCAGGCTGGAGTGCAGCACAATCTCAGCTCACTGCAACCTCCATCTCTCAGGTTCAAGTGGTTCTCCTGCCTCAGCGTCCTGAGTAGCCGGGATTACAGGGGCCTGTCACCACAACCGGCTAATTTTTGTACTTTTGGTAGAGACAGGGCTTCACCATGTTGGCCAGGCTGTTCTCGAACTCCTGACCTCATGATCCGCCCATCTTGGCCTCCCGAAGTGCTGGGATGACAGGCGTGAGCCACCATGCCCGGCCCTTTCTTGGTCATCTTTCTTTCTTTTATGAATTGTCTGTTCGTGTCATTTTCCCATTTGTCTAATGAACTCTTTGTGGTTTTTTTGTTTTGTTTTGTTTTTAATTTTTTGAGACAGGGTCTCACTCTGTTGTCCAGGCTGGAGTGCAGTGGTGTGATTATTGCTCACTGCAGCCTCGACTTCCAGGGCTCAAATGATCTTGCCGCCTCAGCCTCCTTAGTAGCTGGGACCACAGGTATGTGCCACCACACCTGGCTAATTTTGGTATTTTTTGTAGAGATGCAGTTTTGCCATATTGTGGTATGGTCTCAAACTCTTGGGCTCAAGTGATCCACCTGCCTTGGCTTCTCAAAGTGCTGGGATTACAGATGTGGGCCACCACATCTGCCTACTGTTTTATTTTTTAAATCTAGTTATACTTTCTTGTGCATTAAACATACAATTTTTTCTCTCGTGCTTATTGCAGATATTTTTATCCCTTCCAATTTGAGGGAGCAATAGACACTAGAAACTTTTTAGTATGTAAGTAGAAAAATATTTCTTTTTTTTTTTTTTTTGGAGATGGAGTTTCGCTCTTGTTGCCTAGGCTGGAGTGCAATGGCGCAATCTTGACTCACCGCAACCTCTGCCTTCCAGGTTCAAGCAATTCTCCTGCCTCAGCCTCCTGAGTAGCTGGGATTACAGGCATGCTCCACCACGCCTGGCTACTTTTGTATTTTTAGTAGAGACGAGGTTTCTCCATGTTGGTCAGGCTAGTCTCAAACTCCTAGCCCCAGGTAATCAACCTGCCTCGGCCTCCCAAAGTGTTGGGATTACAGGCGTGAGCCGCCAACCCCAGCCCCTCTCTTTTAAAGCTAATACCCTTAAAAATCAAACTCTAGATCATTTAATTACATTGTTTATAAGTTTGCTCTCCCTTCCTCCCCATTATATTGAAAAATTGTGTAGAAGTATCAAAACTTGTTTGAAAGAGATATTCCCTTGCCTGGGTGTGGTGGCTCATGTCTGTAATCCCGGCACTTTGCAGGGCTGAGGCAGGGAGATCACCTGAGCCCAGGAGTTCAAGACCAGCCTGGGGGGCATGGTGAAACTTTATCTCTACTAGAATAAAAAAAATTCGCTGGGCATGGTGGCACGTGCCTGTAATCCCACCTACTCGGGAGGCTGAGACAGGACAATTGCTTAAACCCGGGAGGCGGAGGTTGCAGTGAGCCAAGGTCTTGCCACTGCACTCCAGCCTGGGCAACAGAGTAAGACTCCATCTCAAAAAGAAAAAAGAAGAGACCTTCCCAAAATTCCCACTCTCATTTTCAGCAAAGAAGAAAGCATTAATTTCTATGCTGTGAAGCATCCTTTCATATTTGGTAAAAGAAATGGTTGAATTTTATGGAGTAATGTTAGGAACTATGTGACCTTTTGGGATATTTACAATCTGCAATTTTTTTTTTTCTTTTAGATAGAGGCTTGCTCTGTCACCCAGTCTGGAGTGCACGATCTTGGCACGATCTTGGCTCACTGCAACCTCCGCCTCAGTAACTGGGATTACAGGCATGTGCCACCATGCCCAGCTAATTTTTGTATTTTTAGTAGAGAGGGGGTCTCACCATGTTGGCCAGGCTGGTCTTGAACTCCTGACCTCGTAATGGGCCCACCTCGGCCCCAGAAAATGCTGGGATTACAGGCGTGAGCCACTCCGCCCAGCCTACAATTTACTTATAAAAACTATATAGCATTTCATAATTAGGACATAAATTAGATGGTATTTGCTTAATGTTGTTACAGATAATATTAAAAAGCAAATTAAGAGTTCCTGCCTAGATAGACTAGGACCTTTATTGAAATTGAAAGGGAACTATATTCAATTAGGTTTGTAATGGGTCACTGAAAAGAGACAGATGTGACTCATCTCATGGAGGTTTACGTTCTTCAAAATAAGAAAGAAATGTCTTGAAAATATTGAGGCTAGTTATTTAACCTGTATGAACCTCATACTTATGTAATTGTGAGGATTTGTTGTAATGAAAGTCAAGTACCAAGTTCAGTGCTATCCCAAAGTAGCTGCTTAATTATGATAGATAATAATGCAGCTTGGTACAGTGGAAAAGAGCATAGGCTTTGGGAATTGACTTCAGTTGCATTCGTGGCTCCTCTGTTTTCTAGCTATCAACAAGTCACATAATTGCTCCAAAACTCCCTAGCAAAGTTGCTGTAAGGATTAGAAGTGGTTGGTGTAAGGGGCCCAGCTACATAATAAATATTCAGTAAATAGTAGCTATTGCTATATTAAGTGATTCTCATTTCTAAGGTTATCTTTAAATATTCTCATAGTTTTAAATCTTTACATATCTTTCAAATCTGATTGCAAATTGAAGGTTCCAAGTGATGTTTTTTATTTTAACAGCTGCTTGGTCTAGTGTGGATAGGGGAATGAATACCTCTGAACAGAATTCTGCTTCTTTTGCATCTCTCACACTTAACTCTGCTGTTTCTGGTATGTGAAAACAGTCTTTTGTTCAGCTAACAAAAACATTTGTTTAATTTTAGTGCTTGTTATTTGAAGAGCTAATCAACATCAAGTACTGCTATCAATATAAACAGCAGGTATTATAAAGTGGCAGAGGCCTTTACAACAAGAAGAGAAGACCTAAAGTCTTATGTGCAAATGGCTTAATTCCTCTCTCTAGGGGAGTAAGGATTCTGTAGCTTGAGATCACTGACAGTGCATTGGCACACAGACAAATAACACATGCAAGGCCTTCCCTTCAGGTTCATATTCTTCTCTTGCTAAGGTAGCCCTACCATACTTTTAGTTAAAATTTGACATTTTACTTCTGTTCACTGTTACTCATCATGAGTTTAAAACTAACCCTTTCAGGTTATAGATTCCCACATAATAACTCTTAAGTATCTGTTGATTTATAAAATACATGATTACTAATAAACTACTGTTAATTCTGCATTACTTAAATGGATATATGTTTTGTTAATCATATAGAAGCTATATGTATTTAACAAGTATTACATAAATATGGGAGGCCAGGTGTGGTGGCTCACATCTGTAATCCCAGCACATAGGGAGGCTAAGGTGGGAAGATAACTTGAGCCTAGGAGTTCAAGACCAGCCTGGGCAACTACATCACTACATAATTTTTTTTAAAAAATTAGCCAGGCATGATGGTGTTTGCCTGTCGTCCCAGCTACTCAGGAGGCTGTGGTGGGAGGATCGCATCGGTCCGGGAGGTTGAAGCTACATTGAGCAATGAGTCGTGAGTGCTCCATTGCACTTCAGACTGGGTGACAGACTCTGTCTTAAAACATATATGTGTGTGTGTGTGTGTGTGTGTGTGTGTGTGTGTGTGTGTATAAAAGTTATGGGAGACATTGTTTAGTTTGGAATTCGTGGACCCAGTTTACTAATTTTGTAGTTCCACAGTGTCTGGAATCACTAACCTAGAAAGGGGATCAGCAAACTTTTTGTATGAAGGGACAGATGGTAAACATTTTAGGCATTGTGGGCCATGCAGCCTCTGTTGCAGTTACTCAACCCTGCCGTTGTAACAGGAAAGCAACCTGAGACAGTAAGCAAATGACTGTCTGGTTCTAAAATATTATTCTTTTGAATTATTATTATTATTGTTTTTTCTTTTGAGACGGAGTCTCGCTCTGTCGCCAGGCTGGAGTGCAGTGGCGCAATCTCAGCTCACTGCAACCTCCGCCTCCCTGGTTCAAACAATTCTCCTGCCTCAGCCTCCCAAGTATCTGGTACTACAGGCACATACCACCATACCCAGCTAATTTTTTGTATTTTTAGTAGAGACAGGGTTTTAACGTGTTAGCCAGGATGGTCTCCATCTCTTGTCCTCATGATCTGCCTACCTCAGCCTCCCAAAGTGCTGGGATTACAGACATGAGCCACCACGCCTGGCCTGATTTTTTTTTTTTCATCATTTAAAAATGTAAGAACTATTCTTGGCTCATGGGCCATATTAAAAACCTGATGGTTGGATTTGGTCTGTGGGTCATAGTTTGCTAAACTCTGATCTCATAGACCACATTTCAGTTCCAGAGGTACAAGTTTATTGCTTCCTCATTTGATGACTCTGTACAACACACATGCTATTCCCTTCATATATGCAGAGAAAGCAATGTGGGCTGCTAAAGGAATAGCACCAGTGTTACAGTACTGCTTCTAAGCAGATAATATATTTATTACATGTGAATTTTATAGGGTTACTCTGTTGGTTAAAGTTTACATTAAAATATACATGTTAAACATATATATAGAGAGAGAGTATATATCAAGCGGATAATATATTAGTGGAATGCTGCTGGTAAGATCATCTGTAACCAAGAAGAAATTTATAAATTAGTAAGGACTGTGGTAGGAGGACGTGATTGTGTGTAACACTTTTATACTAATCAAGTATCTTTTCTTCCTAACCCTTTCTTTATATAGTGGCTCTGAATCCAAAATACATATCAGAGTCATCTAAGGACTCCAGTACACAAGTAAATTCTGATTCAAAAGGGGGGGGTGTGTGTGTGTGTACGCGCGTGCACGCGCGCACCTAATGGAGAACTACTGCTTTACATTTACATCCTAAAATGAATTTATATCTATAAAGCAAGGGATTTGACCTGGCATCAGTGGACTCATATGCCCCCAAAACTGCATGCAAAATTTTGTGTTAAGCTCTGGACAGTAGACTACCACAGCTTTCATCAGGTCCTAAAAGACTGTGTGAACCCACTCTCACCCAACCTACTCCCCTCACCTGAGAAAAAACAAAAACAGACAAAACTTATGAAATAATATTTTGTTTTCTTTAAATGCACTTGAACTTAGTCTCTAGACCTCCTGCAACTCTTCTTGTCTCTTTGGCTTCTCTCTGCCTCACCTCTCTAGATAACCACCTATTTTTTTAATGTTTCTTAGCCAAAACATTCTAGCTAACGCAGACGTTTTCTAGTTCCCTCTTTCAGGGTTCTGAGGATACATAGCCCTGAAACATCCAGGACTAAAATGATCAATGGCAGAGATTTCTATTGTGTTTTATTTTCCATTAAGAAGAAGGAAAAAACAACTTTTTTTGACTTCTTGAAATTTGTAGGCAGGGCACAGTGGCTCATGCCTGTAATCCCAGCACTTTGGGAGGCCGAAGAGGATCCCTGGAGGCCAGGAGTTCAGGACCAGCCTGGGCAACACAGGGAGACCCTATCTCTACAAAAAAAAATTAAAAAATAAGCCAGGAAACCAGGCATGGTGGCTTATGCCTATATTCCCAGCACTTTGGGAGGCCAAGGCAGGAGGATCACTTAAGCCTAGGAGTTCAAGACCAGCCTAGGCAATGTGGTAAAACCCCATCTCTACAAAAAATACAAAAATTAGCTGGGTATCTTAATGTGTGCCTGTAGTCGCAGCTACTTGGGAGGCTGAGGTAGGTGGATTGCTTGAGCTGAGGAGGCAGAGATTGCAGTGAGCCAAGACTGTGCCACTACACTCCAGCCTGGGCAACAAAGCGGGACTCTGTCTCAAAAAAAGAAAAAATTAAAAAAGCCCAGCATGGTGGTACAAGCCTGTGGTTGCAGCTGCCTGGGATGCTGAAGTAGGAGGATCTCTTGAGCCTGCGAGGTTGAGGCTGCAGTGAGCCATGATCATGCCACTGCACTTCAGCCTGAGTGACAGAGTAAGATCCTGTCTTAAAAAAAAAAAAAAGAAAGAAAATTGTAGGTAACGAGTTGATGTGTAATACAAAACACAAAATCTAATGGATTGGTGCTAGGGAAAACATAAATTTCTGATCATTGAATTTGATCAAGTGATTATCATAGTTAATCTAAAATTACCCTCAATTCTACTTTTCCTTTTAACTTAACTCTTTTTCTAATGTCTGAATTTTTCCTTTTAGGAGAAATTTTTAAAATAAAGTCTCCGTGTCAAAGTATAGAACTATTGTTATGAAACACCATTAGGAAATTCCATTTTTAATTTTATTGCATTCGTTTTTCATTTAAGGGTCTACTGCTGAGCCAGTTTCTCAGTCTACCACTTCTGATTATCAGTGGGATGTTAGCCGTAATCAACCCTATATCGATGATGAATGGTCTGGGTTAAGTATGTCCTTTTAAAAATTATCAGTTATTTTTTTCAGAATTTTCTTTCTAGCACCCTGAATTCATGCTTTATGTTTTAATTTTAATTCTAATTTCTCACCTTTAAAGGTCATAATATAATTTAATACCAAATGTACTACTTGAAACCTGATTATTGAATACCTGTAGAATTAAAACTGAATTTTCATAATTGAGGCAATATTTAAACCTAAAGTTTTCTTCTGGTTGCTCTGTAATATTTCTAGTTTTTAAATTTTTTGTTTTAAATGAATGTCTGTTTCTCCTCCTAGGTAGTATAATAGACTGACTTCAATATACAGGAATGGCTTTGTATTTGTGAAGTGTACACACATTTTTGTGCTGGTGGAAAACTACTTTCCTAACCCAGTTGCCAACAGAAGTTTAGTTAAAGGAAAACTCATTTTAGAAAGGAAGAATATGGTTTGTATGTTCAGAAAGTTCATGCCGTCTTCATTTAAAAAAAACAAAAATACGAGGTTTTTCCCTCACAAACCTACATCTCAAAATTTACTTTCTCTGAATTTTTATTTCACATCCTTTTTTACTATTTACTGTTTTCTACTGTTAGCACTTATATGTTCCCTGTGGGGTTTTCCACCATTTTTAAGCATATGTTTTGCTTCTCCAAGTAGAGTTAAGAACCCTCTGAAAATAGGGACTAGTACTGTTATATACACTCAGGACCTAGTGAAAGCCTTTATACATAGGTGCTCGGAAGTAATAAGAATGACAATAAAAACACTGTACTGTGTGCCAGGCACTGGTTTTAGTCTTTTGGATTTTATCATCTCATTTAATGCTTAAAACATTTCTGTGTGGTAGGTTTTATTTGTTTCCACACTTTCCAGATGAAAAAAACTGTGACAAGGGAAAGTTTAGCTTTCCCCAGGCCACACAGTTAGTTAAATGGAGGAAGATGGTATTCATACCTTGCTAGTCTGGCTCCAGAGTTCATGTTCTTAACCACTCTCTGGTACAACCTTGGTGATGATAGTAATCATCAAGGTAAGCTTGCGACACGTGGTTAAAGCACAGTTTTTACAGATTAAGGGAGATGAGGGGAGAAAGATCAGGGAGGACCATATTGTAAAGTGCCATGCCTTGAATTGCTGGCTAAAGATTAGGGAGCTGGGGGTTTTCAGTACTAGCTTAGACAGTAGATATGAATTTTAGTCCTGACTCTAAAATGTAGTACCTCATATGGTTTGGGCTTTGTCACTTATCTGGGAGCTGTAAAATCGAGCACATAACGTGTCATATCTGTTTTCATAGGTTGTTATGAGGTTTAATGAGGTAATGGGTGAACATGAAAGCTCTGTAAATTACAGTCATCTCTCACTATCCATGGGGGGTTGATTCCAGGACCCCCCTCAGGTTCCAAAATCCCCAGATGCTGAAGTCTCCTATGATAAAATGGCATAGTATTTGCATATAACCTACATATATCTTCCCATATATTTTAAATTATCTCTTGATTACTTGTAGTACCTAATATGGTGTAAATAGTTGTTATACTGTATAGTTTAGGGAATAATGACAAGAAAAGAAAGTCTGTACATATTCAGTACAGGCACAGTTCATTCTTTTTTTTCCTGTGGATACGCAGGGCTGACTGTGTATGAAGTATTTAAATCCAAGGTTTTACAAGGATGTGAAAGCACTATTTTTGGGAGAAAAAAAAAAACGTGTATTTGTGCTTTGGAAGAATTATCAGCTACATGCAGAATAGAATTGAGGAGTGATTATAACAATGATAGGAGTGACTATAGAAAAAGCAGAAAGGTATCTTGGGCTGCTGTGGGTTGAGGCAGAGGAAAATTGAGTGGACAGGTCTCCAGGCTTTCCTGTCTGGACAGAATAGATCCACTTTTTATTTTATCCATATTAAGATACTTTGAATATGAAAAACATGATTGGCTGCTAAAATAAAAGATTTTTAAAACATGTATCCACAGGATTCTGTACTTAATCAAAGTAATATGTATCAGAAACACCATCTTCCTCAAGTTTGTTATGCTGTATTGGCAGTCTTTTTAAGTCCAGAGTTTTTCTTCAACGTTTTCTCTGTAAACTTTATTTTCTGTGTCACCATCTTTAATTCTGCTCTATTATTGGTGCTCAGTGAATTTAATTATTACTTCTGAATTTCCAAAATGAATGATTTAGTATTTGAGATTACTAATCCACAAAGTATATTATGTTAGATTTACATTTACAGTATGATACAATTAATATATTGACCCTCCAGTTTGAAGACATACATTAATCCATTACTATCTTAACCATAAAGGAACAGCATTATTGTAACCCATGTAAAAAGTCAGATGTTGAATAGAACTTTTTCTTGGCACACAGGAGTGAATGAATTCACTGCAGCATAATGGAGTGGTTGAGAGCATGAGCTTTCAGGACAGACTACCTGGGTTTCAATCTTAACTTCCTTGCCTTTGCCCTTACGCAGGTTACGTGATTATTCTATGCCTCAATTTCCTCATCTGTAAAAATAGTAATTCCTCCCCAACAGTACGGCTGAGAAGATTAAATGAGTTAATACATATAAAGCACTTAGAACACTGCCTCACATATAATAAATATAATAAATATCCAGTAAGTGCTGCTGTTTCTGCTGTTGGTGTCCTTCTGGTGGCAAAATAAGTCTACCCAATGTGGTTAACTAACCCAATGAGGTTAACACTGGAGAATGTCTTTCTAACATGATTGTTTTCTTTTATTAAAAAGTTATTAAAGTTTACGTTGAATTAAGTTCTGACAAGAAACAGCTGACAACCAAATAAAGACCAGCAATGAGATGCTTAAACCTAAAACATTATTCCATAAGCAAATTAAATGGAGAGACAAATTCCTTACCCTTTTGAAAAAAAAACCAGTATGGCTCTTTGAAAAGACATTGGCAGACTAATGGGAAACTTTAGAGATGAGAGATTATAATTGAAGCAAACTATACTGTGAATCATTTTTAAGGGAACTATGTCTAAGAAGTTTTTTAGTATATTAGGCCTATGAATCTTAAGAATTAGTTACTCAGGCCGGTGCCATGGCTCACACTTGTAATCCCAGCACTTTGGGAAGCCAAGGTGCAAGGATGTCTTGCGTCCATGCATTCAAGGCAACATAGTGAGACCCCATCTCTACAAAAAAAAATTAGCTGGGCGTGGTTCACATGCCTGTAGTCCCAGCTACTCAGGAGTCTGAAGTGGGAGGATCACTTGAGCCTGAGAAGTCTAGGCTACAGTGTGCCATGATCTTGCCACTGCACTCCAGCCTGGGCAATAGAGCGAGACCCTGTCAAAAAAATACTTTTACTAAGCATTTTACTTGATTTTTATTTTTCACCTCCGCCTACCACCACATGTATTAAGAAGATGGGTGAAATGTTGGTATATTGCCCACTCAGTTGCCTAAACTTTTTTCTACTTAATAGTTTCTTTTCTGGCAAGAAGTCTTAGAGACATGGCTTATGGACAGCAGTTTTCAAAATCTGGGTTTCTTATCTGTGAGAGTTAAGCAAAACCAATGATAGCTTTGGTATGTGAACCTCCTAAATGTATTATTAATGAATGCTTAGTATAAGATGAGTAGCTGGTTCTAGACATCTACTAGATTGAATTGAAGTTTATCTTACATATGAAGTATATCTTACTGAGAGGTTCATCAGAATTGTGAGAAATAAATTTTTAGCTGTACATGCCTTATAGATTAGAAACTGGTTTTAATATCATCAGTGGTAATAAAAACAATAGCTACCACTTATTGAGTGCTCACTGCATTGCCATGAATTGCTTTACATGTATCTCATATAATCCTCTCAGCGATCCTATGAAGTTGATAATAGAGCCCATTAAGAAACTTAACCAAAATCATCTTGTTATTAAGTGGTAGAACAATATTCAAATGTACATTTGTTTGATGTGAAGGCCCATGCTCTTCGCCTCTGTGTTACTATGTAATACTCCAGATACTTGCTCATGGTGGTGAATTTAGAAATACAGGAAGGAACTTCCTTTTTTGTAACACATTTCACACTTGTAATCACCTGTTCCATGTTTTTCGTCCACTAGACTATAAATTCTTATGTTGTCTCTCCCTGTCCTCCACTAGCTTAGCTCTTCTCTGTTTCCACAGCCCTCATGGCAGAATCTATCACTCTGTATTTAATTGTTTGTTAAGCTTACCTATCTTCACCCCTGAATAGACAGACTACAAGCTGCATGTGCAGAGGGATTCTATTTTACTTATTTTTATATCTCTAATACCTACCTAGCTCAAGTTCAAGCACATAGTAAGTGCTTAATAAGGATTGAATAGATGTAATTTCACTATTAAAATATATTTATTATTCCAACCTGGGCAATATAGTGACACCCCATCTCTACAAAAAATTTAAAAATTAGCCAGGCATGGTGGCACACGGCTATGGTCCCAGCTGCTCAGGAGGCTGAGGCAGGGGGATCACTTGAGCCCCAGGAGGTTAAGGCTGCAGTGAACTATGATTATACCACTCCAGTCCAGCCTGGGTGACAGAATAAGACCCTGTCTCTTAAACTAAGACAATATATATATATAATATATATAATGTTTTATTTTCTTCTGTCTCTTCCTCATATAAATTTGAGATCATACTGTGTAGACAGGTTTGTCTATGGTTTTTTTTTTTCTGTGAGCATTTTCCCAGATTGTTATATATTCTTCCAAAACGTGGGTTTTAAAACCTTCATAAGAATGTATTATACCTCCCTGTTAAAAACAATAATAGAGTTCACCTGGAAAAATAAGAATAGCAAAAAGTAAATAAGAGTACTAAATAAAAGTAATGCAAACAAATTTGTCCTTCTAGATACAAAAATATATTGCAGAGTTATGTATAGCACTGTCCCAGGAATAGATCAGTGGAATAGAATAGAAATTCTAGAAACAGACTGAAATGCATATAAAAGAATTGAGTAAGGTCGGGCACGGTGGCTCATGCCTGTAATCCCCAGCAGTTTGGGAGGCCGAGGCAGGTGGATCATGAGGTCAGGAGTTCGAGACCAGCCTGACCAACATGGTGAAACCCTGTTTCTACTAAAAATACAAAAATTAGCAGGGTGTGGTGATGCACACCTGTAATCCCAGCTACTCAGGAGGCTGAGGCAGGAGAATTGCTTGAACCCAGGAGGCAGAGGTTGCAGTGAGCCAAGATTGTGACACTGCACTCCAGCCTGGGTGGCAGAGTGAGACTCCATCTCAAAAAAAAAAAAAAGAAAAGAAAAGAATTGAGCATTGCTGGGTGCAGTGGTTCACGCCCATAATCCCAGCACTTTGGGAGGCAAGTCGGGCAGATCACGAGGTCAAGAGTTCGAGAGTTCGAGACCAGCCTGGCCAACATTGTGAAACCCTGTTTCTACTAAGAATACGAAAATTAGCCCGGGTGTGGTGGCGCATGCCTGTAATCCCAGATACTTGGGAGGCTGAGGCAGGAGAATCACTTGAACCTGGGAGGTGGAGGTTCCAGTGAGCCGAGATCATGCCACTGCACTCCAGCCTGGGCGACAGAGCAAGACTCCGTCTCGGGGAAAAAAGAAAGAAAGAATTGAGTATTTAATAAAAGTAGCATTAGGTATTAGTGGGAAGTGACTGGATTTTTCAGTTAAGCATTGTTGGGACAACTTGTTAACCACTTAGAAATAAAGCTTAACCTTTGTCATCTTAAACCATTGTAAATGAAACCTGACTATAAGTAGATTTACAGGAACATATATAGGAGTATATAATGTGCAGAGAGAGAAGGGAAGAATTAACTTTGAAAGCTACTTATTTAACCTGGGTAAAAGCAAAGACTGGTTTTTCCTTTTAGAATAAGTCATTGATAGCTTCCTCAAGGAGTTAAAAATTTAGTGCCTCCTGTAGTGAAAGAAAGGGATCTAGAAGTCTAGAATAAAATTTATTTTTGATAATAAATGATGAGTGAAGCCCTGAAAGTTAATCAAATGCTTTTGAAATAATTGGATAAAAAACATATTGAATGATCTGAAAAATATAAGAAAGTATAGGTTAAGTATTAAAAGGAGGAGGGAAAAATAAGAGATTGAATATTGTCATGACTTGGTGAATTTGAAGAACCTAATTTTGAAAAGCTCATAAGGATAGGAGAGGTGTAGTATAAAATGACAGGTAGGGATTATAACTTTGGTACTACTGTTAAGAATTAATTCCAAACCCTAGAAAATAAATCAATTACAAAAATGTTGTAATAATCAGGGGAGAAAACAACCAGGTCCTAGACCAAGTTAAAAATGGATAGAGAAAAGAAATTCAGGAGACTGATGATAAAGGAATCAGAGAGAGTGGAATCAAATGGCTAATAAATTTTCTGGAATTTCTTAGAAATTCCATTTAACCATATGATATGCTTAGCAAAAATTGAATAAAGATTGTTACCATCATGTTACTTTTTTTTTCTGGCTCTTAAAATGTGTTTGGGAGACAGAACAATAACTTAAAATTACAGCTTAGTTGAACATAAGGAATTTTTAGTTTTTGCCTTTTAACTTATGGCAAAAATGATAGACACCTAATTCACACTGTTAAATTTTAGATGGTCTGTCTTCTGCTGATCCCAACTCTGATTGGAATGCACCAGCAGAAGAGTGGGGCAATTGGGTAGACGAAGAAAGAGCTTCACTTCTAAAGTCCCAGGAACCAATTCCTGATGATCAAAAGGTGAGTATAAGAGATTCCTGGGTGTTTATTTGTTAATGGAAGAGACAGGCTGGGCATGGTGGCTCACACTTATAATCCCAGCACTTTGGGAGGTGCTGTGGGAGGATTGCTTGAGCCCGGGAGTTCAAGGCCAACCTGGGCAACATAGTGAGACCCCATCTCTATTTATAAAATAAAGCAACCGAAGGAGAATTCTGGGTCACAGAGGCTGACACAGTTGAGAGGGTCAGGGAAGCAATAATCAACAGCATCAGAAACAGCAAACCCAAGTTTGGATAGGAATGGAGGAGAGATAGTGGATAATAGCAACATGTGGTATCAGGAATGGTTTTGCTGGGATTGGGGGGGGTTGTATTTTAAGATAGGGGAGATTTTGGTATAGGATCAGCAGGGTTTTTTTGTTTTTTGTTTTTTGTTTTTTTTGAGACAGAGTTTCGCTCTTGTTACCCAGGCTGGGGTGCAATGGCATGATCTAGGCTCACTGCAACCTCCGCCTCCTGGGTTCAAGCAATTCTCCTGCCTCAGCCTCCCAAGCAGCTGGGATTACAGGCGCCTGCCACCACGCCCAGCTAATTTTTGTATTTTTAGTAGAGATGGGGTTTCTACATGTATGTCAGGCTGGTCTCGAACTCCTCACCTCAGGTGTTCCACCCACCTCGGCCTCCCAAAGTGCTGGGATTACAGGTGTGAGCCACCGCGCCCAGCCAGCAGTCTTTTTTCTTTCTTTTTTTCTTTCTTTTTTTTTTGAGACATTCTCATTCTGCCGCCCAGGCTGGAGTGCAGTGGCATGATCTCGGCTCACTGCAACCTCTGCGTCCCATATTCAAACAGTTTTCCTACCTCAGCCTCCTGAGTAGTTGGGATTACAAATTAGCCTGCCACTATGCCTGGCTAATTTTTGTATATTTAGTAGAGCCACCATGCCAGGCCTTTTTTTGTTGTTTGTTTTTTGTTTTTTTTTTTGAGATGGAGTTTCGCCCTGTCTCCCGGGCTAGAGTGCAGTGGCACGATCTCGGCTCGCTGCAACCTCCACCTCCCAGGTTCAAGTGATTCTCCCTCCTCAGCCTCCTGAGTAGCCGGGATTGCAGGCATGCATCACTACGCCCAGCTAATTTTTGTATTTTTAGTAGAGACAGGTTTTTGCCATGTTAGCCAGGCTGGTCTCAAACTCCTGACCTCAAGTGATCCGCCACCTCGGCCTCCCAAAGTGCTGGGATTTACAGGCATGAGCCACTGCACCCAGCCAGGATTGGTCTTTAAAACAGGATATAGGCCGGGCATGGTGGCTCCCACTTTGGGAGGCCAAGGTGGGTGGATCACAAGGTCAGGAGTACAAGACCAGCCTGGCCAAGATGGTGAAACCCCGTCTCTACTAAAAATACAAAAATTAGCTGGGCATGGTGGCGGGCACCTGTAATCCCATCTATTCATGAGGCTGAGGCAAAGAATTGCTTAAACCCGGGAGGCAGAGGTTGCATTGAGCCAAGGTTGCGTCACTGCACTCCAGCCTGGACGACAGAGCGAGACTCCATTTCAAAAAAAACAGATATAATACTAATGGTAGAAGGAGGGGTAAATAAATGTAGAGGGGGACAGGTAACAGGCAATATGAAAGTCAACAGCGGAGAAAGGGGTTTTAGATTGGACCTACAAAACGACTTCTTAGTACAATATCTTAATGTATAGTACCTTAATACATAGTAATCATTCAGATGTTTGTTGGACATTTAACACAATAGAACCCATGAATGGAGTAAAGACTTTATCATACATCATAGGAATTCTTTTTCTGAATATATTCAGAAATTACCTTTTACATTTCTAAGCAAAAGTGAGCTGTCATCAAAATGTTCATCAGTTGGGGAATGGAAAGATGTGATATGTTTATACAATGGCATATTAGAAGTTAAAAATGAGGCCAGGCACAGTGGCTAATGCCTATAATCCCTACACTTTAGGAGGCCAAGGTGGGCGGATCACGAGGTCAGGAGATCGAGACCATCCTGGCTAACACAGTGAAACCCCGTCTCTACTAAAAACACAAAAAATTAGCCAGTTGTGGTGGCAGGCGCCTGTAGTCCCAGCTACTCTGGAGGCTGAGGCGGGAGAATGGTGTGAACCCGGGAGGCAGAGCTTGCAGTGAGCCGAGATTGCGCCACTGTACTCCAGCCTGGGCGACAGAGACAGACTCCGTCTCAAAAAAAAAAAAAAAAAGTTAAAAATGAACTAAAGCTACATTATTAGCATTACGAATGGAATTTCAACATACTGAATGATGAGCAAGTTATAAAAAGAATATGTCATTTATAAATTTTTATATGTGGATACAAATAAATTTATAGAAAAATTGATTGGATAGACACAGAAATTGTTCACAATTTTGGTTACCACTGGGAAGGGAGTGTGAAAATGGGATTGGGAAGTGGTATAAAGGAATTTGAAATTTATCAGTAATGTCCTTTTTATTTAAAGATTTAAAATACATTTATCAAAATCTCAACTCTTTCATGGGACTTAAAAGATGTAGAGCTGATTTCAGCATCTTCCCATTAACAAAAATAGTATTTTGCCATGGGGAACTACATTTCTTTCATGGTTGGATTATAACGAAGTGGTAAGCTGACTGAAGAAAGTTCTTGTGACCTGAGTATCATTCATGGCATGGATCTGTTCATATGGCATTTTAATCATTACAAGACCTTGAAACAGCTTGTGGTGAAAACTTCTAGGGACATTTCTGCACAACTGGTAGCCAGCCAGCCTAGACTGAAAATCTCTTAGCTAAGTTTATGCCAGATTTTGTTTTGTTTTTCCATCTGCTTGTAATTTCTGTAACCTATTTGGTAGTTTGTGAGACCACCAAAATCATTATAGTGACTATAGTGCTGAGCAGAGAAATGGCAGCTACTTAGAATCATCTCTTCCTGTAAAGATAGTCTAGGAATCTAGGTTGTCATTTGTGAGAATAAACAAACAGCATTTTTCCGTAGAAAGTTAAACTACAGTGCTTACTTCAGCAGCACATACACTAAAATTGAGGCCAGGTGCAGTGGCTCACACCTGTAATCCCAGTACTTTGGGAGGCCAAGGTGGGCAGATCACCCGAGGTCAGGAGTTTGAGACCAGCCTGGCTAACATGGTGAAACCCTGTCTCTACTAAAAATACAAAAAAAAATTAGCTGGACATGGCGGTGTGCACCTGTAATCCCAGCTACTCAGGAGGCTGAGGCACAAGACTCACTTGAACTGGGAGGCAGAGGTTGCAGTGAGCCACTTCACTCCAGCCTGAGCAACAGAGTGAGACTATCTCAAAAAAAAAAAATAAAAGAATAAGGCCGGGCACAGTGTCTCATGCCTGTAATCCCAGCACTTTAGGAGGCCAAGGTGGGTGGATCACCTGAGGTCAGGAGTTCAAGACCAGCCTGACCAACAAGGTGAAACCCTGCCTCTACTAAAAATAGAAAAATTAGCTGGGCATGGTGGTGTGCACCTGTAATCCCAGCTACTTGGGAGACTGAGGCAGGGGAATTGCTTGAACCCGGGAGGTGGAGGTTGCAGTGAGCCAAGATGGCACCATTGCACTCCATCCTGGGCAACAGAGCAAGACTCCATCTCCAAAAAATAAATAGAAAGATAAGATACAAAGAAGATTGGCATGGCCTCTGCATCATTATGAATATTAACATAACAGTGCTAACTTGATAGGTATTTTTTTGTCCTGCAGAATGCTATTTTCAATGACATGACTTCTCAAATTCAGTTATTTAAATTAAACCTTTTATTTTGAGATAATTGTAGATTCAAATGCAGTTACAAGAAATAATACAAGCCAGGCGCGGTGGCTCAAGCCTGTAATCCCAGCACTTTGGGAGGCCGAGACGGGCAGATCACGAGGTCAGGAGATCGAGACCATCCTGGCTAACCCGGTGAAACCCCGTCTCTACTAAAATATACAAAAAAAACTGGCCGGGCGAGGTGGCAGGTGCCTGTAGCCCCAGCTACTCAGGAGGCCGAGGCAGGAGAATGGCGTAAACCTGGGAGGCGGAGCTTGCAGTGAGCGGAGATCTGGCCACTGCACTCCAGTCTGGGCGACAGAGCGAGACTCCGTCTCAAAAAAAAAAAAAAAAAGAAAGAAATAATACAGGCCAGGCACGGTGGCTCACGCCTGTAATCCCAGCACTTCGGAAGACCAAGCTAGGAGGATCACTTGAGCCCACATGTTTGAGACTAGCCTGTACAACATAGCAAGACCCTATCTCTAATATTTAAAAAAAAAAAAAAAACAGAAAAATCAGCCTATAGTCCCAGCTCCTCAAGTGGCTAAGGCAAGAGGATCAGGAGGTCAAGGCTGTGCAGTGAGCCTTGATTGCACCACTGTACTCCAGCCTGGGCAACGGAGCAAGACGCTGTCTTGAAAAAAAAAAAAACAAACCAGACAGGAATGAAACAGAGTGATCCCCTGTACCCCTTCTATCCAGTTTTCTCCAGTAGTAACATGTTAAAAAACCATAATACTGTACAGTCATGCAGTAGCCATCCCCACCGCTCCCCACCTCCACTTATACACAGGGGATACATTCCAAGACTCCCAGTGGATGCCTGAAACCAGTGTCAAACCCTACGTATACTATGCTTTTTCCTATACATACCTCTGATAAAGTTTAATTTGTAAATTAGTAAAAGATTAAAAACAGTAATCATAAAATAAAACAGTTATAAAATTTACTGTAATAGATGTTTGTGAATGTGGTCTCTCTCACTTTCTGTCTCTTTCAAAGTACTTTAATATCAGACTGAGGTTGACCTCAGGTAACTGAAACTGCAGAAAGAAAAACTGCGAATAAGAGGGAACTGCCTTTTCACAAGTGGCATGTTTACATTGATGCAATCAAGATACAGAACATTTATCATTTCAAGAATGTTTTATTAATGGAATTATATATTATATATATAGAGAGAGGGAGACACACACACACACACGTATGTATATATCCTTTTGCTATGGTTTTTATTTGTTGGTTTGATTGAGATGGAGTCTTGCTCTGTTACCCAGGCTGGAGTGCAGTGAAATGATCTCGGCTCACTGCAGCCTCCGCCTCCTGGGTTCAAGCAGTTCTCCCATCTCAGCCTCCCGAGTAGCTGGGATTACAGGTGCATGCCATCAGGCCCAGCTAATTTTTTTATTTTTAGTAGAGACAGGGTTTCACCATAGCGGTCAGGCTGCTCTTGAACTCCTGACCTCAGGGGATCCACCCGCCCTGGCCTCCCAAAGTGCTGGGATTACAGGCTTCAGCCACTGCTCCTGGCCTTTGTATGTTTTTTTGTTTGTTTGTTTTGTTTTCACTCAACATAATTCTCTGGAGATTCATCCAGGTTGTTGTATGTATCGGTAGTTGTACCTTTTTACTGCTGAGTGATATTCCATGGTCTGGATGTACCTCAGTTTCTTTAACCATTTACCTATTGAAGGACATATGGGTCCTTTCCAGTTTGAGACTATTATGAATAAAGCTGCTAAATATGTAGGCTTTCAGAAGTCTCTGTCTAAACATAAGTTTTCATTTCTCTAGGATGAATGCCCAAGAGTACAATCTCTGGGTATTATGATAGTTGCATATTTTAGTATTTTAAGAAACTGGTTTTTCTGTATCCTCACCTAAATTTGCAGTTGTCACTGTTTTTTATTTTAGCAGTTCTAATAGGTGTATAGTGATAACTCATTGTGGTTTTAATATGCATTTGCCTAATAGCAAATGGAGTTGAGCTTTTTTCCATGTGTTTTTTTGCCATCTGTATATGGTCTTGGGTGAAAGAACATTTGTCTGTTCATGTCTTTTGCTTATTTTCTAAGGGGATTTTTTTTTTTAATTTGAGTGTTCCTTATATTGTATGGATACTAGTTCCATGGGTGGAACTATATGGCTTGCAAATATATTCCCCCATTGTGTAGCTTGTTATTTCATTCTCTTAACAGGGTCAGATAAATTTTAATGCAAATTGCACTACATTTGAACTTCAAAATAGAATTACCTATTCAGTGAGTTTTTAAAACACTAAAGTTTACACAGCTCTCTATGTTGCAGTGAGTGATGGGTGACATAGACACACTGAGAGAATGAGGTTCCATGTATTTTGTTATTTTTTAAGTAGGTAGTTCTTGATCCGTTTTATTACTTATTACTAGTTTTTATTTAGATTTTGGGAAACGAAGACTGTACCTAATGAATGAAATTATTTCATAATAATTTTCTAAATAATGGAAATATAACCATTTGGTTCTCTTTAATATTTTTGCTTTTAACCTAAGGTCTCAGATGATGATAAAGAAAAGGGAGAGGGAGCTCTTCCAACTGGGAAATCCAAAAAGAAAAAAAAGAAAAAGAAGAAGCAAGGTGAAGATAACTCTCACGCACAGGTAAAATGTCAAAACAACAAGGATTCATTAAGCGCCTCCTGCTTAAAATGTGAAAAGATGAGGTACAGATGCTAAGAATATATAGAGATAAAAGACAGTATGAGACATCATGTTTATTTGGAAAGTCATGGAATGTTTTACATATTCAATTCATCTTATTGTAATAAATGTTATTGCTCAAAAAATTCATGTTAAAGGTGTTGCTAAAGTCAAAAATAATTAAAATTCCAAATTATTCATGCATTTTTTAATTATATAATGGTGAAATGGAAAAAGATATACAGTATTTTACACATGCAAAAATTCCTTTTGAGTAACTGGAAAGTAACATTTAGCACACATAGAAAAACCATGTGTATAACAAGTGGAGTCTTTCACTTGACTTTGAGTTTGCTGGTTATTTCACTTAGTAGTATCCTTTCCTTCTTTTTTGACAGCTACCCAACAGACATTTTCTCTTTCCATCACTCATACATTTTCTTTTTTTTCTTTTTCTTTGATCTCTCCTATCTGGGGGGAAAAAAGTAAATTATACTAAAAATGAAGTCAGAGATGAAATTTTAACCGGGCACAATGGCTGACACCTGTAATCCCAGCACATTGGAAGGCCAAGGTGGGAGGTTTGCTTCAGTCCAGGAGTTTGAGACCAGCCTGGGCAACATGGCAAAACCCTGTCTCTACAAAAATTAGCCAGGCATGGTGGCATACGCTTGTAGCCCCAACTACTCAGGAAGCTGAGGTGAGAGGATCACTTGCGCCCGGGAGGCAGAACTTGCAGTGAGCCAAAATCACACTATTGTACTCCAGCCTGGGTCACAGAGCAAGACCCTGTCTCAAAAAAAAAAAGTATTTTAATTTCAAATGTATCAGATTATTAGAAACATACTAGTTTTTTTTAAAGCACTAATACTGTTACATTATAACTTCTTAAAATATTTGTAGGCCGGGCGCGGTGGCTCAAGCCTGTAATCCCAGCACTTTGGGAGGCCGAGATGGGCGGATCACGAGGTCAGGAGTTCGAGACCATCCTGGCTAACACGGTGAAACCCCGTCTCTACTAAAAAATACAAAAAAATAGCCGGGCGAGGTGGCGGGCGCCTGTAGTCCCGGCTACTCGGGAGGCTGAGGCAGGAGAATGGCGTAAAAACCCAGGAGGCAGAGCTTGCAGTGAGCTGAGATCCGGCCACTGCACTCCAGCCTGGGCGACACAGCGAGACTCCGTCTCAAAAAAAAAAAAAAAATTTGTATTCCTTACTATAACTGTAATTAATTGTTCAAATGTAGGAGACAGGGAGCCGCAATTTCTAGGGATAGACCACATAGTAGTTTTTCCTACTTACTGTTCTATTTGTTTATCTTTTTTTTTTTTATTATTTATTTTTTGAGACAGAGTCTGGTTCTGTTGCCCAGGCTGGAGTACAGTAGTGCAATCTCAGCTCACTGCAGCCTCTGCCTCCCGGGTTCAAGCGATTCTCTTGCCTCAGCTTCCCAAGTAGCTAGGATTACAGGCACATGCCACCACGCCTGACTAATTTTTGTATTTTTAGTAGAGACAGGCTTTCGCCATGTTAGCCAGGCTGGTCTCAGGTGATCTGGCCTCAAGTGATCCGCTCAACTCGGCCTCCCAAAGTGCTGGAATTATAGGCATGAACCACCGCGCCCAGCCTTATTTATTTTTGAGACAGAGTCTCACTGTGTCGCCCCAGCTGGAGTGCAGTGGCACAGTATCACCTCACTGTAACCTCCGCCTCCTAGGTTCAAGTGATTCTCCTGCCTCAGCCTTCCAAGTAGCTGGGATTACAGGCATGAGCCACCACACCCAGCTAATTTTTGTATTTTTAGTAGAGAGGGGATTTCACCATGTTGGCCAAGCTGGTCTGGTCTCAAGTGATATGGCTTCAAGTGATCTTCCCACCTCAGCCTCCCAAAGTGCTGGGATTACAGGTGTGAGCCACCAAGCCCAGCCACTTACTGTTTTTGGAAGAAGTTTCTACATGGCTTTTTAAAGAAATATGTATTCAGTTATTTTTTATTGTGGGAAATACAAGCCCTCATAAATGATACAAGCTTATTATCAACACTTACTTTTTCAGTAGTAAAAATGGATGGGCATTAAAGTTGTAACATAGCTAAGATCAATGGATATGAACAAACTAAAACTATATGATAGGTATGCGGTTCTTGTTAGCTGGAGCTGGGAGATGAGAAATGTTACATCTATCCTTTGTTAGTAGTACTACCTGAAAACCATTTTAGCCAAGTTCTTCTTGAGTTTCTTTGACTTAGAGTATTTACTAATGATAATTTTGTGGATTGTGGATTAGTTGAGTTCCTTTTAAAAGAAATTTTGTAGGATGTATTCTGAAATGTTTCATGTATTGGCAAAGGTCATTAACATGAACGTTTCTTTGGTATTCTGATTATCCTTTTTAAAATGTTGGCTGTGTTTTTAAAAATATAATGAATGAGTATTCTAGGTTTAGAATCAGATCTATATTCTGAATCTTGTTCTGTCATTCTTTTTTACCTTGCACAAGTTACATAACTGCATAAGTTGTTTGGAGAATTAGATATCCATGAAGTTCTATGCTGAGTACATAGCACATATATCCTACTAATAAAAGGTTATGACTGGGTGCAGTGGCTCATGCCTATAATCCCAGCACTTTGGGAGGCCGAGGCGGGCAGATCACCTGAGGTCAGGAATTCAATACCAGCCTGACCAACATGGAGAAACCCCGCCTCTACTACAAATACAGAATTAACCGGGGGTGGTTGCATGCGCCTGTAGTCCCAGCTACTCGGGGGGCTGAGGCAGGTGAATCACTTGAACCCAGGAGGCAGAGGTTGCAGTGAGCCAAGATTGCGCCATTGCACTCCAGCCTGGGCAACAAGAGTGAAACTCCATCTTAAAAAAGACTGGGTGCCGTGGCTCACGCCTGTAATCCCAGCACTTTGGGAGGCCAGGGCAAGTGGATCACAGGGTCAGGAGTTCGAGACCATCCTGGCCAACATGGTGAAACCCCATCTCTACTAAAAATACAAAAATTAGCCATGTGTGGTAGCTGGCGCCTGTAGTCCCAGCTACTTGTGAAGCTGAGGCAGGAGAATCGCAGGTTGCAGTGAGCTGAGATTGCGCCACTACACTCCAGCCTGGGCAACAGAGTGAGACTCTGTCTCAAAAAAAAAAAAAAAAAAGTTATATTGTTGTTTCTTTTTGTTTTGTTTTGTTTGTTTTTTGAGACATTCCATTCTGTTGCCAGGCTGGAATACAGTGACTTCATCACAGCTCACTGCAGCCTCGACCTCCTGGACTCAAGGGACCCTCTTGCTTTCTTGCTTCAACCTCCCAAGTAACTAGGACTACAGGCAGGCACCACCATGCCCAGCTAATTTTTTTTTTATTTTGTTGTAGAGACAGCATTTCCCTGTGTTACACAGGCTATCCCAGACTCCTGGGCTCAAACAGTCCTCCTGCCTTGGCTCCTTGACAAAGTGCTGGGATTGCAGATGCAAGCTACCACACCAGACCCAAAGTCCTTTTTGGTGTTCATGCGTGGCTGATGGGGTCTTTCACTGTTGAATTCAACTTAGGATGGAAATAAATTGATGTCTTCTGACTTTGTAAGACTGCAAAACTTTGAAAAACTTTGTGAGATTATAGACTTCACACACATACTTCCAAAGCTATCTGCTCAGCCTAAATATGTAGAAAATTTTGACTATCTAAACCCACTACTATACTGAATAAATATCATAGAATAGAATATTAGTGTTAGAAGAACATTAAGATCATCTTAGCCATTTGTTAAAAAGAACTTCCATTTTATATGGATGCATTTGCCAAAGAAAAATACAGGAATGTTTCTATTAAATATATTCTAGTTCATGTTTACTTTACATACCTAAGCATATAATGTGCTCTAGAATTATTTTGCTGAAACTTCGTGAAAGTTTGAAAATCTAAGAATGGAAATCTTGCTGCCTTGATGTCTTGTGGTGTTTGGCATGTGCCCTCCCGTCTCCTGATTAATCAGAGTGGCATGAGGCCCACGCCACCCAAACCTTTCACTTTCCAAAGGGCTAGCCGTCCTCCACCCTGTACCATAGTGTCTTGGCCTGTCTGCATTTGTTAGTGGTGATATTCTTTATGTATAATAAATTTTTATACCCCTCAAAAAATGGAAATCTTAAAGCTTATATGAGTTTTTAGATAGGGTAAATTTTACCTTACAGTTGAGGAAACTGAGGTTTGGGGAAACTAAGTGACTTGTCCCTGAGATGTTTGTTTGTTTTTGAGACAAGATCTCTCACTCTGTCACCCAGGCTGGAGTGCAGTGGCGCGATCTTGGCTCACTGCAACCTTCACCTCCCAGGTTCAATCTATTATCATGCATCAGCCTCCCAAGTAGCTGGGATTACAGGCATGTACCACCATTACTGGATAATTTTTGTATTTTTAGTAGAAACAGGGTTTCACCATGTTGGCCAGGCTGGTCTTCAACTCCTGACCTCAAGTGATCCGCCCACCTTGGCCTCCCAAAGTGCTGGGATTACAGGCATGAGCCACCACGCCCAGCCTAATTTTTGTATTTTTAGTAGAGATAGAGTTTTACCATGTTGCCCAGGCTGGAGTGCAGTGACGAGATCTTGTCTCACTGCAACCTCCGCCTCCCAGGTTCAAGCAGTTCTCATGCCTCAGCCTCCCAAATAGCTGGGATTACAGACATGCGCCACCACACCCAGCTAATTTTTGTATTTTTAGTAGAGACAGGGTTTCACCATGTTGGCCAGGCTGGTCTTGAACTCCTGACCTCAGGTGATCTGCCTGCCTCAGCCTCCCAAAGTGCTGGGATTACAGGCGTGAGCCACTGCGCCCAGCTGTCCCCGAGATTTTGTAGCTAGATTGTGGCATGGCCAAAATAGGAATTTCCTGTCTATGCCCTTTCTACTGTGTAAGCTTAATTTATCTTGAAAATTAACTTATGTATAAACATTTTATTCCTTGAAATTGTTAAGTGAAGTGTTTTTGTGGTTTTTTTTGGGACGGAGTTTCCCCCTGTTGACCAGGCTGGAATGCAGTGGTGCGATCTCGGCTCACTGCAACCTTCACTTCCCGGGCTCGAGCAATTCTTGTGCCTCTTCCTAAGTATCTGGGATTAAAGGAATGCACCACCATGCTTGGCTAATTTTTGTGTTTTTGTAGTTTTGGGGGGTTTTTTGTGTTTTTTTGAGACAGAGTCACCCAGCCTGGAGTACAGTGGTGTGATCACAGTTCACTGCAGCCTCGATCTCTCAGGCTCAAGTAGTCCTCCCTCCTCAGCCTCCTGAGTAACTGGGACTACATGTGCACACCACCACATGTGACTAATTTTTGTATTTTTGTAGAAATGGTTTCACCATGTTGCCCAGGCTGGTCTTGAATTCTTGAGCTCAAGCAATTCACCCACCTCCGCCTCCCAAAGTGCTGGGATTACAGCCATACACCACCATAGATTTTAATTAATGAAGAATGAATGATTTATATAATCTAATAGATTGTTTTTCTCTATAGGACACAGAAGAATTAGAAAAAGAGATTAGAGAAGAGCTTCCAGTGAATACCTCTAAAACCCGTCCAAAACAGGAGAAAGCTTTTTCCTTGAAGACCATAAGCACTAGTGATCCAGCCGAAGTACTCATCAAAAATAGCCAGGTAATTTTTAAGAATAATAAAGTTGCCGGGCACAGTGGCTCACACCTGTAATCCCAGCACTTTGAGAGGCCAAGGCAGGCAGATCATGAGGTCAGGAGTTCGAGACCAGCCTGGCCAACATAGCAAAACCCTGTCTCTACTAAAAATACAAAAAATTAGCTGGGCGTGGTGGCGGGAGCCTGTAATCCCAGTTACTTGGGAGGCTGAGGCAGGAGAATCGCTTGAACTCAGGAGGTGAAAGTTGCTGTGAGCCGAGATCGTGCCATTGCACTACAGCCTGGGCAACAGTGCAAGACTCCATCTTTTAAAAAAAAAAAAAAAAGTAACAAAGTTTTGGCCGGGCACAGTGGCTCATGCCTGTAATCCCAGCACTTTGGGAGGCCGAGGTGGTCAGATCACCTGAGGTCAGGAGTTCGAGACCAGCCTGACTAACATGGTGAAACCCCGTGTCTACTAAAAACACAAAAATTAACCAGGTGTGGTGGCGGGTGCCTGTAACCCCAGCTACTTAGGAGGCTGAGGCAGGAGAATCGCTTGAACCTGAGAGGCAGAGGTTGCAGTGAATCAAGATCATGCCACTGCACTCTGGCTTGGGCAACAGAGCGAGACACTGTCTCAAAATAAATAAATAAATAAATAAAGCATAATAAAGTTTTGTTGACTCAAGTATTTTATCATAAATAATGTTTTAAGCACTGTGCTAACCATTTAAAATATAATGACTAATTTAGTCTTCGAAACAATCCCAAGAGAAAGGTAAGATGCATTTTATAAATGAAGCTAGAGAAGTTGAATAACTTGCCCAGAGTCACATAACTATCAGTAGTGAAATCAAGAACCACTGTACTGTATTTTCTCCTGCTAAATATCTAGGCATACAAGGGATAGATAGCTTAGAGAAAATACGATTGGTTTCATTTTCCCCCAATATATGTATATAATACCACTATGATTCAGCCTCCCAAAATGGAACATTTGTTTAAAACTTGGTCATAGGCTTTTGAAAGATGTGCCTTCTATGGAAGCTATCTGTATGGTAGAAGGGACCATTTTATAAAAGGCCTATGTTGGCCACACAAAATCTGATTTCTAATTGGGTAAATTAATTACACCATATTAAAATAAATTTAGGGCTGGGTACAGTGGCTTACGCCTGTAATCCCAGCACTTTGGGAGGCCAAGGTGGGTGGATCACAAGGTCAGGAGTTCGAGACCAGCCTGGCCAATATGGTGAAACCCCGTCTCTACTAAAAATACAAAAATTGGCTGGGCGTGGTGGCAGGCACTTGTAGTCCCAGCTACCTGAGAGGCTGAGGCAGGAGAACTCCTTGAACCCGGGAGGCGGAGGTTACAGTGAGCCAAGATCGCGCCACCACACTCCAGCCTGGGCAACAGAGTGAGACGCCATCTCAAAAATATATATATATATTAAATTCTACTAGAGTTGCCTGGTTTATTTGCGCTTTTTTTTTTTTTTTTTTTTCACCTTTTTGTGGAGAACAGGGTCTCGCTATATTGCCTAGGCAGGTCTTGAGCTCCTGGGCTCAAGCTGTCCTCCCACCTCTGCCTCCCTAAGAGCTGGGGTTACAGGCATGAGCCACCGTGCCCGGCACCTGGTTTATTATTCAGAAAAAATGTATTGAGAACCTACTGCGTACCATACTCTATTTGAAGTGCGGGGATACAGCAGATAACAAAACAGACCAAAAACCACCTGCCCTTGGGAGCTTACATATTTAGTGGAACAGCTTTAGACAAGAAACTTGAGTTACTGCTAGAAAAGTGAATTTGTAGCCGGGCGCGGTGGCTCAAGCCTATAATCCCAGCACTTTGGGAGGCCGAGACGGGCAGATCACGAGGTCAGGAGATCGAGACCATCCTGGGTAACACAGTGAAACCCCGTCTCTACTAAAAATACAAAAACTTAGCCGGGCGAGGTGGCAGGCGCCTGTAGTCCCAGCTACTCGGGAGGCTGAGGCAGGAGAATGGCGTGAACCCGGGAGGCGGAGCTTGCAGTGAGCTGAGATCCGGCCACTGCACTCCAGCCTGGGTGACAGAGCGAGACTCCGTCTCAAAAAAAAAAGAAAAAAAAAAAAAGAAAAGTGAATTTGTAACTGTCTTGTACTAAAACAGTTTTAATAATACTCCTTATTTAGAGTTGATGCTTTTATTTCCCTATGCGTATTTTGAGATAAAACGATGCAGTCTTGGGAGATTTGTTTGTTTGTTTGTTTGTTGTTTTTTCTAACAGAGTCTTGCTCTGTCACCCAGGCTAGAGTACAGTGGCGCAGTTTTAGCTCACTGCAGCCTCTACCTCCCGGGTTCAAGTGATCCTCCTGTCTCAGCCTCCCGAGTAGCTGGGACTACAGGTGCACACCACCACACCCAGCTAATTTTTGTATTTTTTATAGAGACAGGGTCTCACCATGTTTCTCAGGCTGATCTGAAACTCCTGGACTCAAGCAGTCCTCCCACCTCAGCCTCCCAAAGTGCTGGGATTACAGGTGTGAGCCACCACACCTGGGCTACAGTCTCAATATAATAAATGGCAAAGGCCGGGCGTGGTGGCTCATGCCTGTAATCCCAGCACTTTGGGAGGCTGAGGCAGGCGGATCATGAGATTAGGAGTTTGAGACCAGCCTGACAGATACGTGAAACCCTGTCTCTACTGAAAATACAAAAAGTAGCCAGGTGTGGTGGCACACACCTGTAATCCCAGCTACTCAGGAGGCTGAGGCAGGACAATCGCTTGAACCTGGGAGGCGGAGGTTGCAGTGAGCCAAGATCACGCCACTATACTCTAGCCTGGGTGACAAAGAGACTCCATCTCATGAATAAATAAGGAACTAGGTGCAGTGGCTCATGCCTGTAATCCCAACACTTTGGGAGGCCAAGGCAGGAGGATTGCTTGAGTCCAGGAGTTAGAGACCAGCCTGGGCAACATGGCTAGACTCAGTATTTACAGAAAGCACAAAAATTAGCTGGTTGTCATCGTGTGTGCTTGTAATCCCAGCTACTCAGGAGACTGAGTGGGAAGACCACTTGAGCCCAGGAAGTTGAGGCTGCAATAAGCTGTAATTGCGCCACCGCACTCCAGCCTGGGTGACAAAGTGAGGCCTTGTAAATATATATGTATATATATTTGTGTGTGTGTGTGTGTAATAAATAGCAAAGCGTCTATTTGACTTTTTTTTTTTTTTTTTTTTTTTTTTTTGGAGACAGAGTCTTGCTCTATTGCCCAGGCTGGATTACAGTGACGCACTCCGCAATCTCGGCGCACTGCAACCTCTACTTCCCAGGTTCAGGCGATTTTCCTGCCTCAGCCTCATGAGTAGCTGGGATTACAGGCGCACGCCACCACCCCTGGCTAATTTTTGTATTTTCAGTAGAGACGGGTTTTCAACATGTTGGCCAGGCTGGTCTCGAACTCCTGACCTCAAGTGATCAGCCTGCCTCAGCCTCCCAAAGTGCTGGGATTACAGGCATGAACCAGCGCACCTGGCCTCTGTTCAACATTTTTATATTAAATCATTTTCAGAAGCCATTTTATGAAGAATATTTGATCCGTTCTGTGACTTAATGTAGATAAGTGAGAATAGAGGGGAAAAGGAGATTAAAAATAAGTAATAATAAAACTTCTGGATATGAAATAAATACAGGGAACACTAAGAAAGGTAAAGAGACTAGGCAACATAAATACAACTTCAGAGCCGGCCACGGTGGCTCATGCCTTGTAATCCCAGCACTTTGGGAGGTCCGGATGGGTAGGTCATTTGCACTCAGAAGTTCGAGACCAGCCTGGGCAACATGGTGAAACCCCCCTCTCTACCAAAAATACAAAAAAATTGCCGGATGTGGTGGTGTGCACCTGTGGTCCCAGGTACTTGGGGGACTGAGATGGGAGGATCTTGTGAGCCCAGGAGGCAGAGGTTGCAGGGAATGAAGATCACGCCACTGCACTCCAGCCTCGGTGACAGAGTGAGATCCTGTCTCTCTCTCTCTCTCACACACACACACACACACACACACACACACACACACACACAACTTCAGATACCTGGAATAGGAAGAAAGAATCCTAGTAATTACTTGGGCTCACACCATTTCCTCTTGTATCCTTATCCCATTTTGCTTTCTCGAATCTATGGGGCCTGGAAGAATAGGGTCTAGAGAAGCATTACTTACCCTTCTTTCTATGTTCGGGATAATGATCACAGATAGAGCTAATAGGTGAAATGATCTTCTCATCTCTCACATCCTGAAGGCACTCCAGATTACTGACGTTTTTATCATTACCAGGTCCTGATCATTTATTAATGGATATGCCTCAGTGAGGCAAAGAAGTTAGTTTACCTCTTTTCTGCTTCCAGGCTGTAGAGAAGTAAGGCTCAAGAATCTAGGCTCTGCCTTAAGCATTCTAATTTCACTACCAGACTGGATAAAACACTGAAAATTTGGACCTGAGTGTTACCAATTGCTTGAATCAGTAGGACCAGTAACCACAGTGTGCTCGTAGGAAACAGAAGCTGTTGCTGCTGCTATTTGAGAAATTCTTACCTGTTGGGAAGGAGATTAGGGGTTGTCATCTACTGGTAGTTCAGAAGTTAGCTATTTTCCTTCTGTTTTTCACAAAAATTTTTGAAGCATTCTGAGTTGGTGGAAATGGACAACAAGCATTGAATCACCAACAAGTATAAAATCAGCCAGTCTCAGTGGTTCACACCTATAATCCCAGCTACTCCGGAGGTTGAAGTGGGAGGATCGCTTGAACCCAGAGGTCAAGGCTGCAGTGAACTGTTTGGTGCCTCTGCCCTCTAGGCTAGGCCACAGAGCGATACTGTGTCTCAAAAAAGAAAAGTATAAAATCATCTTATTTATAATGAAACATGAGAATATAAAAGTTAGGCCAGGCGTGGTGGCTCACACCTATAATCCCAGCACTTTGGGAGGCTGAGGCAGGCGGATCACGAAGTCAGGAGATCGAGACCATCCTGGCTAACACGGTAAAACCTTGTCTCTACTAAAAATCAAAAAAAAAGTTAGCTGGGCATGGTGGCGGGCATCTGTAGTCCCAGCTACTCGGGAGGCTGAGGCAGGAGAATTGCTTGAACCTGGGAGGCAGAGGTTGCAGTGAGCCTGGATTGTGCCACTGCACTCCAGCCTGGGCGACAGAGCGAGACTCCACCTCAAAAAAAAGTTAATGAAAATGAAATTATTCATTTCTGTTTGAAATTCGGTAGACATTTTGTAATTTCATATCTTCATTTTTATCTCAACATATATTCATAAATGTCATGGGTGATGATTGATTTGGCCGTATCACTAGAGGGCAGGTATGATTTACATTGCTTATCTGGAAACCATATTAGTATTGAATTGCTGCTAAACAACCTCTTAGTATTACTGTGATATTTAAACTTTATTTGAAAATTTCACCAAAAAACCTGAGATGATTTTTTCCTAAAATAGCCTATCAAGACTCTTCCACCTGCTACTTCTACCGAGCCATCTGTTATCTTATCAAAAAGTGATTCTGACAAGAGCTCCTCCCAAGTGCCGCCAACTCTACAAGAGACAGATAAATCCAAGTCAAATACCAAGCAAAATAGTGTGCCTCCTTCACAGAGTAAGTAATCCTCATTTTTTTGTTCCTTTGTACTGTTTACATTTTTCATGTGTTAAGATTCTGATCTTAAAAGTCTAATGGATTAATAAGAGTAGCCCTTTCTTCCTTTGAAAATGCTGAATTTTTTGGACGTTTGTGTACTTAAGTTGTGAAGGCCAAGCTGTTAAAATAACTGAAGGAGGCTGGGTGCTGTGGTTCACACCTGTAATCCCGGCACTTTGGGAGGCCAAGGCAGGTGGATCATTTGAGGTCAGAAGTTCAAGACCAGCCTAGCCAACATGGTGAAACCAAGTCTCTACTAAAAATATAAAAATTAGCTGGGTGTACTGGCCGCACATCTGTTATCCCAGCTACTGGGGAGGCTGAGGCAGGAGAATCGCTTGAACCCAGGAGACAGAGGTTGTAGTGAGCCAAGATTGCACCATTGCACTCCAGCCTGGGTGACAGAGCGAGACTCAATAAATAAATAAATGATCAACCTATCTATCTATCTGTCTGCCTCTGAAGGAGAGAATACATTGTTGAGAAGAGAGAGAGAGAACTTTCGTGCCTGCCTGCTTGTCTATCTGGTCCCTCTCCCTTTTTCTCTGCACATGTTCTTGAGGCTACAAATTATTCTATGCTTTTTTTCCTCCTTTACTCTCTTCAGCTACCTTTAGTATCCATTTTACCCATTTTTCTCTTTTATTAGTTAGGTTGAGCTGTATTAAATAACAGTTTTTTTAGGTCAAAACTGGTTGAGTATCAGCAATTCCATATTGTTCAACCTAATAATACCATTGAAAAGAAAGGAGGGAGGAAGACATAGAATAACTTAAAATATATAATAAGGGCTTGAAAACTTAAACATAAAATTTGAGTATTTTAAAAGATTTTCATAGTTACTCCTTTTATATTATTGAGATGTAACAATATTTACTATCCTAATTTTTTTCTTCATTTTCCCCCCTTTTTCTTTTTAGCCAAGTCTGAAACTAGCTGGGAATCTCCCAAACAAATAAAAAAGAAGAAAAAAGCCAGACGAGAAACGTGAAATTTTTTTTCCTGAATTGGACATGTGTTTGCAAACACTGTCTTGAAGATTATGCTGTTTATGCAATAATTTGTGAACATGTACAGAGTTTTATATAAATTTAAACCAATTTTTAAAACAAAACTGCGGACACAACCACCATAAAAATGGAATCAAAAGAAAGTTAATTTATGAAATTAAGAGGTCAGCAGAATATACTCAGTGATGGAAGACACTTGGGAAAGTCTTTTTAATTGAACAAGAACGATCTTAATTTAAGAATATTATCTTGGTTTTACAGCAGTGCCCTGTTTACAACAGATTGTGCCCTATCTCATCTGCAGCCGAGGAATAAAGGATTCTGATTAGAAAGAGGGTTGCCTACAAATTAGTAAGCAATTCCTTGGATCTTATGCACAGAACTTGTACCATTTGAATCTGTTTTATGCTTAAATCAAAGTGCTTTGATCAAATACATAACCTGCCATATCTTTACATATTTGTTGGTAGCAATTTGTATTAAAGAAATCACAAGTGCAAATAAAAAGTCATTTATCATTTGTTTAACTAAACTGTCATGGTTTAGTTTACAATTTTTAAAAGTTCTTAAAATACCGAAAATGCAGTTGACACTTGTATGGCTTATGAAGTTATTTTTGATAGTCTTACATTACTTGAATTGTTCAAAGTACAGTATATTTTAAATTAAGAAAAGTGAACTATATGTATTTGTTTTATACATTTAAGGCTTAGACTCATAAATAATGCTATTGTTTATGATTTGAAAACTTTCAGGCAAAATCCAATTTACATTTTTCCTTTCCCTAGCAATTACTTTTTTCCAGCTTCAACACTTCTTAGTTACTAATACTTTTTTGACTTTAAAAATGAAATCATTCACAAACTTTTGGTATATGATGGAGAATGAAAAACTAGAGTCAGACAGCTTTAATTGACATTGTCAAGACCTCCAGTTATCAGGAATACATTTTTTTACTGCCTTAACCTGTAGTGCGTAGAATATGCATCAATTTCTTGAAGGGGATTCATGTTTTTATAAGAATTTTCATGTAATTATTGCAATTGTGGTCAAATAAGGAACGTTTCCTGCTTGAAATTATATTGATTTAAATGATGTGTGAAATGTTTCACCATTTTCAGGCACTGTGTAATTCTATTGTAATAAACTGGCAGGTATCTTTGTAACTATAAATAGTGCATGCTCAGCCATGTACACTGTAAATAGCCTTTACCAAACGTGTTTGACAAGGACCATAATTAACATCACTTAGTGAATTGTGATAAAGAAAAACAAGCCATGATTTATTCGATGTGATTGGCTTAATTGTTTTTATGTGGCGCCAAGAATGAACCTGTTTAACAGCTGTAACCAATGGTACTGATCTGTCCATCCAATGTTGTCATTATATTTGATTGTGGTTCAATAGTATTGCATTGTCAGACTAGGAAAGCTAAACAAACAAAATGGTTTTAGTTTTGCTGAAGACTGGCCTTATTAATGGACAGCTTTCCTAACAAGAGATTATTAACTTTTATCAGGTGTTAACATCTGTTTCAGGAACATGGCAGTATGTTTACATGTCAGAAGTTTTGTTTAATTCTATGGTATTTCTAAATTGACTTGTTTAAATAAATTCAGCAAATGGATAGCATTGTTTTTTATTTGCTTCAATATGGGGGTAGGTAATAGCTAAAGTGCCAAGGATGGATTTCTTCAAATGACTTTATTCTGTTAGCTTTACATAGGTGTTGGAGGATTCCGAAGGTGTCAGCACTTTGTAAAGGTACCACAAAGGAGAATTTGATAGGGAATCTAATTTTAGAATGTGCCAAATGGTCTGTGCTCAACAATATAATTGAACTCTCTCAACTCTACCTCACCATTTCTTTATCTTAAAATTCTGTTGGCTATGTCAAACGTTGGACTTTATTTTTTCAGCCTAGTATCTCCCCATTCTACCACCTATGCCAGATGTTAAAGACACCAGATGTTTTGAGGAGAAAGGTGTTGTGGAGATGCAGAGATGCACTGCTAACTTGAGGTGGATCCAGTATAGAGATACCTCTATGTATTCTTTCTGGCTCAAGAGCTAGGACTTGGGTTTTGTTTTAAGAGATGGCAGCTGACTGGGTGCAATGGCTCACATCTGTAGTCCCAGCACTTTGGGAGGCCAAGGCAGGTGGATCACGAGGTCAGGAGTTCAAGACTAGCCTGGCCAAGAGGGTGAAACCCCATCTCTACTAAAAATACAAAAAAAATTAGCTGGGCATGGTGGTGGGCCCCTGTAATCCCAGCTATTCAGGAGGCTAAGGCAGAGAATCATTTGAACCCAGGAGGCAGAGGTTGCAAAGCCAAGATCGTGCCCCACTGCACTCCAGCCTGGGCAACAGAGCAAGACTCCGTCTCAAAAAAGATGGCAGCTATATAAATGATAAACTTAATTACATTCTCTTTCACATGCATGAGGTGCAAACTCTGTCACAAAGTATTTTAATTACCCTTTACCTTGTTTCATAGATCTTTATGTGACATAAAAACTGTTTCTGGGCCAGGCGCAGTGGTTCACGCCTGTAATCCTAACACTTTGGGAGGCCGAGGCAGGTGGATCACCTGAGGTCAGGAGTTTGAGACTAGCCTGGCCAATATGGTGAAACCCCATCTCTAATAAAAATGCAAAAATTAGATGGGCATGGTAGCGGGTGCCTGTAATCCCACCTACTCGGGAGGCTGAGGCAGAGAATCGCTTGAATCCAGGGCGGTGGTGGAGGTTGCAGTGAGCCGAGATCGTGCCACTGCACTCCAGCATAAAAGACAGCGAGACTCGGTCTCAAGAAAAAAAAAAAAAAAAAAACAGTTTCTGGCACCTGAACAGGAACTAGTTTCCATCATCAACTCAGAAAGCACTAAAATCTAGGTGGTGATTCAGGGAGGAGCAGGGGAAGAGAGCCTATTCTATGGCGGCATGAATAAGATGCTTCCAGAACTAGTAGGGAAGTAAGTAACCTCTTCAGGCTTTATCAGGACTGGAGGGGAACCTTGCTCATGTTAGCAAGCAAGGTGTCCTAGAGAAGCCACTCAAAAGGCTCCCTAATCCAGCCTGTCTCCACATACATACTGAAAATTCTTCCCTACTCTGAGGCAGGGTGTAGTGGTTTAGGGGTTTCTCCAGACTGGAATCCTACCTATCTGCACCCACAATTGAGCAAAACAACAGTTGAGAGAGTCCAAAAAAAAAAAAGTATTAAAATGTGATTGATGTAATTTACCATGTTTACTTTGTGCATGCATTTTATTGGGGAGGGGAAGTCAGAATAATTCACCCAAATCTAATGGTCTTATTTCATAGGCTAATCTGGTTTATATTTGCATTACAGATACTGGAGGGCAATATTTAACTACAGAGTTTAGTTTTTCTTAATTAAAAACAGTCCTCTATTAATATAGTGTGAAATATCTTTCAAAATGTAGAGTTTAGGTTTAAGATGTCTACTAGATATCTTACGATTTTCCTGTAAACTCATTGCACAAACTGGAATTACTTTCCAAAAGACTTAGGGAATGCAAATATGTTATTTGTAAGATGCATTGAGTATTGTAAATAAAACAAACCGTTTTTGATTTGTTTAAATTGCTCGTTACAGTTCTCTTGTGGGAAGGGACTTCGTCAGTCATTTTGCATCTTAAGCTAGTCTAAACTTTTTGTTGTTGTTTTCCTAAAACCATAGGTGCAAGCTTTACCACTGGGAAGTCATATTGAATTAAGCACTTTAGAAAATGTCACTGTTTGTGGCACACAATGTTCTCTACAGAAAACTTCTTCTATCTTATGTCATTTTAGCAGATGTAACTGCCTGCCACCAGGTGCAATATATCATTTGCATCAGCCTTTCAGTTAAGGAAATTAAAACTTGGCATTATGCGTTAGTTTATATGTATGAGTTTGGCTGTATCCCCAAACAATAATTGCTTGTACAAGATAGAAGTTTGTCTCTCAGCTGGGCATGGTGACTCATGACTGTAATCTAAGCTCTTTGAGAGGCTGACACAGGAGGATTGCTTGAGCCCAGGAGTTTGAAACCAGCCTGAGCAATATAGTGAGACCCTGATCTCGACAAAAAAAAAAAAAAAAAGAATTAAAAAACAAAAAAAGATTGTTTCTCTTTCATATAAAAGTTTGGGAAGGCAATCCAGAGCCCATATGACATTATGCAGGGTCAGGGATCCAGGTTTTTTATATTGTTCCTCCCCATTCTCAACCTGTGGTGGTGTGTTTTGTTTTGTTTTGTTTTTTCTCCTTTTAATGAGATAGAGTCTCACTCTGTTGCCCAGGCTGGAGTGCAGTGGCACAGTTCTAGCTCACTTCAGCCTGGAACTCCTGGACTCAAGCTATATTCTCCCACTTTAGCCTCAGCCTCCAGAGTACCTGGGACTACAGGTACACACCACCATGCCTGGCTAAAAAATTTTTTTTCTTTTTTTTTGGTAAAGATGAGGTCATTGCTATGTTGCCCAGGCTGGCCTTGAACTCCTGGGCTTAAGTGACCCTCCTGCCTTGGCCTCCCAAAGTGCTAGGATTACAGGTGTGAGCCACCGCATCTGGCCAACATGTGGCTTTCAATTCTTACTTGAAGACAGCTGCTCTAGCTAGAAACTTCCTGTCAGCATTTGAGCCAGCTAGTAGAGGGCATTACCACCCCCACCCCCAAGAACACTTCCTAGAAGTTACACACAATACATAAACTTAAATTTCAAACAGTTGCTTGGTCCTACTAGCCATGAGGCTGAATGGGACGTCGTATTCTGTCTGGGTTGTCATGGGCCAAATTGATATTTTGGGATTCTGTTACTAAGGAAGAAGAGAATTGGATAATGGGCACCTCTAACAGTGTCTGTCAGAGTTGACATACATTGGGTATCTCCTGCACCAAAGCATTTTTGAGGTCAAGTGTTCTTCCGGCTGAGCAGAAATTTGGAAGGCTGTTGAGTGCTACTTAGTGTAGCAGCTGGTAATGTTCCAACTTCTATATGATGGTTGTTTTTGTTTTTGTTTTTGTTTCTAGAGACAGGGTCTCACTGTTGCCCAGGCTGGTCTCCAATTCCTGGGCTCAGGCAGTCCTTCCGCCTCAGCCTCCTAAATGCTGGGATTGCAGGCATGACCCACTGTGCCCAGTCTATATATAATAGATTTTAGAAGAAATTTCTGCCACTCAATGACTGCTTTAAATTCTAGAGACAGAGCGGCTGAGAGAAGCTTAGTAGCCTGCCTGCGCATACTGTAAGTACAGATTATATAACAAGTTGAAAGAGAATCACCCTGGTATATAATCTTTTAAAACATGAAAAAGGCATTACCATTGTTCTGGTCTAAGTACTCTTAACAGGACAATGATTTCTAACCCTAGCATCAAGACATGTATATAGTGTGTTGTAAGATGTTTACCAGCTAATAGTTACAGTACTGAAGTTTGTGAATAAGTTAACTGAGAAAACTTTAAGCAGGTTCAAGGTTATCCCATGATAGTAGCATTCTTATTTGTACATATGTGCTTTCCCTTTTTATTTGTATCAAGGCATTTAAAAGGAATATATGTAACATGTACCTAAGTTTTAAAGCATAATAAAATGAACACGTCTGAAAACACCATTCTGCTCAAGAAATAGAACATTACTTAAGAAATAGAGTGTTACAAGGGGATATTGGGAACCAGCTTGACTTGTAACAGGATTAGAGGGGGAAAGGCTTGGGTGAAAATTACTGTTCTCAAGTGCCTCCCCTGGCACAGGTCCTTTTTGGTACCATCAGAGGCTTACAGTCCCAGGAAACATCTAGCCTGATCTCAGAAAGGTTTCATGGCAACTTCATTGCCACTCCTCCCTCAAGACATTTCACTGATATGTTGGTAAGTTGTTTTAGTAAGTACACACGGGCACGATGACTATGAATGTGAATGGTGCCCCATGCTGTATAGTGCACAACTCTACATGGCAGCCTTTCCCTGAGGAAGGGGGATAGATCACAAGACAGATGGCATCTCTAGACAGCTTTGCCCCGCTCTGAAAAGCAGCAAGTGCCCCACGGGCACTTAGAGTGAGGGTTCCTGTGAGGTTTGTTGTGGGGCTGGAGACTCTTGACAGACACTAAAGGAGGTCTTTGGTAAACAGCAAGAGCTATTAGTGACAGGATAGTGAGATTACCAGTAATTTCTTTTTTTTTTTTTTTTTGAGACAAAGTCTCGCTCTGTTGCTCAGGTGCTCAGGCTGGGGTGCAGTGGCATGATCTCAGTTCACTGCAACGTCTGTCTCCCGGGTTCAAGCGCTCTTCCTGCCTTAGCCTCCGAGTAGCTGGGATTACAGGCGCACGCCACCACGCTTGGGTAATTTTTTGTATTTTTAGTAGAGAAGGGGTTTCACCATGTTGGCCAGGCTGGTCTCAAACTCCTGACCTCAAGTGATCCACCCACCTCTGCCTCCCAAAGTGCTGGGATTACAGGCATGAGCTACTGGGTCCAGCCCATTTTTTTAACAGACAGAAACTTCCTCTGTGTACCAGGCTGGAGTACAGTGGCACAATCATGGCTCACTGCAGCCTCAAACTCCTGGACTCAAGCAATCCTGCCTCAGCCTCCTGAGTAGCTGGGACTACAAGCACTCACCACCACACCTGGATAATTTTATTTTTTATAGAGACGGGGTCTTGCTTTGTTGCCCAGGCTGGTCCCAAACTTCTGGGCTCAAGCAATCCACCCACCTTGGCCTCACAAACTGCTGAGATTAACAGGCATAAGCCACTGTGCCCAGCCTGAAATTTTTAAAAATACCTCAAAGATGATGAAAATAAATAATTTAGGCCAGGTGTGGTGGCTCACAACTGCAATCCTAGCACTTTGGGAGACCAAGGCGGGAGGATCACCTGAGGTCAGGAGTTCAAGACCAGCCTGGCCAACATAGTATAACCCCATCTCTACTAAAATACAAAAATTAGCCAGGCGTAATGGCAGGTGCCTGTAATCCCAGCTACTTGGGAGGCTGAGACGGGAGAACCGCTTGAACCTGGGAGACAATGATTGCAGTGAGCCAAGGTGGTGCCACTGCACTCCAGCCTGGATGGCTGAGAGAGACTTCGTCTCAAATAATCTGAGAAAGATCAAATAAGGAAAAAATAAGGGCAGTGGTGGGAAGGAGCAGAGGGCTAGTCTTAAGAATAAAATATTAGAATAAAATATAAAACAGCTTGCATCAATAAGTATTCTTTGTTGTAAAACCCAGAATCGGCCGGGCGCCGTGGCTCAAGCCTGTAATCCCAGCACTTTGGGAGGCCGAGACAGGCGGATCACGAGGTCAGGAGATTGAGACCATCCTGGCTAACATGGTGAAACCCCGTCTCTACTAAAAAAAAAATACAAAAACCTAGCCGGGCGAGGTGGCGGGCGCCTGTAGTCCCGGCTACTCGGGAGGCTAAGGCAGGAGAATGGCGTAAACCCGGGAGGCGGAGCTTGCAGTGAGCTGAGATCCAGCCACTGCACTCCAGCCTGGGCAACAGAGCGAGACTCCGTCTCAAAAAAAAAAAAAAAAAAAAACCCAGAATCTGCTCTGGCAAGTTCAAGCTGAAAAGGAATCTAGAAGGACCAGAGATCCAGGCCCTTTCACCATCAAGAATAACACCTAAGACCAAGTGCGGTGATTCACTCCCATAATCCCAGCACTTTGGCAGGCCCAGGCAGGTGGGTCACCTGAGGTCAGGAGTTCAAGATCAGCCTGGCCAACATGGTGAAACCACATCTCTACTAAAAATACAAAAATTAGCCAGGTGTCTGGCATATGCCTGTAATCCCAGCTGCTCAGGAGCTGAGGCAGGAGAATCACTTGAACCCAGGAGGTGGAGGTCGCAGTGAGCCGAGATCATGCCATTGCACTCCAGCCTGGGAGACAGTGCGAAACTCCATCTCAAAAAAAAAAAAAAAAAAAAAAGAGAGCAAGAATAACACCTAGCCATTTTCGAGTCTGCTCTAGCAAAAACAATCAGCTCCTGAGGATGCTTGGAACTGAACGCCAGCACCTCCACTCTACTGCTGCTGACGATAATGAATAGTTGGATGCCACTCCACCATGCTTGCCAAACTAGATTCTGTCAGGCATACACCCTGTCCTTGCTCCTTTCTTAGTGTTCCTCAGAGGCTGGGTCATATCCATGTCTGTGTCAAGCAGCAAGGGAGACTGAGAATGAATTTGGGGAACTCCAAATGGAAAGAATATTCAAGATATATTCATTGAGTTGGGCACAGTGGCTCATGCCTGTAATCCCAGCACTTTGGGAGGCCGAAGTGGACTGATCATGAGGTTAAGAGAGGGAGACCATCCTGGCCAACATAGTGAAACCCCATCTCTACTAAAAATACAAAAATTAGCTGGGTGTGGTGGCACACGCCTGTAATCCCAGCTACGCGGGAGGCTGAGGCAGGAAAATCACTTGAACCCGGGAGCGTGGAGGTTGCAGTGAGCCGAGATCACGCCACTGCACTCCAGCCTGGCAACAGAGTGAGACTCCATCTCAAAAAATAAAAAAAATAGCCAGGCGCGGTGGCTCAAGCCTGTAATCCCAGCACTTTGGGAGGCCGAGACGGGCGGATC